AAGCCGGAGCCCGTGAAAAAGTACCGGCCCGGCCGATTAAAGCTGAAGCCCGTTAAATCTAACGGACTCGACCAGAACTTCCTGAAGCAAGCTTCTTGGTCCTTGCGGCGCAGCAGCTGTGATCCACATGCGAGACGTCGATGCGCACTTCGCGCGCGCCACCACTACCAACCAAAACATCACCAACCAAACCTTCTACAGGGACATTACATTACATTAGATGACATTACATTCGTACATTTATGTATTATGTAAGTATGCATCTGTATGTGTGTGCATATGTATAACCACACAGATGCACGCGCATGCATATATATATATATATAAATGTATATATATATATATATAGACACGCATAGTTATAGAGCATGACTCGGCACCCTGTTCCAATTTGTCAAGGCCTGAAGCCCCGCAAGCCTTACAGAACTTGATAGAACCGCTTTAGCCTGGCATTCGCCAACCCTCAACCCTAAACTCTCGAGCCCGAGCATTGTAACCTTAAGCCCTAAACCATAAATCTCAAGCTCTACCTGGACCCTACAAAACCACCCTGTTTGGAAATCCTATTCTGATTTCCGTATGCAATGCCTTGAAAATGGTGGCTTGTTGGCTGCTTCAGGTAAACCCTGAAGCCTAAATCCTAAACCTGAAACCCTGAATCCTAAACTATGCATAAACCTTAAATCCTAAATCCTAAACCCTGAATCCTAAACTATACATAAACCTCAAATCCTAAATCCTAAAGCCTGAATCCTAAAACAAACAAGGCAACAGAAAAGCCTCCAAAGGCGCTCGTTGGAGGGACTTACCCTTACTCAGAGCCAGCTGTAGCTGGGAGTCGTAGACATCCGCAAGGTCCTGGGTTTCAGGGTTTACGGGTTAAAGTTTAGGTTTCAGGGCTTTAGGGTTTAGGGAAACCCTAAACCCTCAACTCTGAACCCGAAGCCTCAACCCTAGGACATCATTTTTTCATGGGGGCTAAATCTTCCAACCCTGAAGCTCTTAAACCCTAAGCCCTAAAACGCCTGGGGTTGAAAATTTTGAGTCTTGGTGTTTAGTTTTGTCCACTTCCGGGTTCGGTCTTTTGGATTGCATAGCATTTCCGGGTTTGGGGATCTAGTTCGACCTTTCGGGGGTAAAATAATGGCCCAAAGCCTATAAAAGGCAATTATTCCACACACTTTTGGGGTCCAGGTACAGGGAGGCTACGGTTCATCTTATGCTGGGTGCGTCTATGGTTTTGAGGTTCAGGGCTTGGGGTTGCGCGTCTTCGGGCTAATGATTTAGTACCGGGCTCTTTCGGGTGCAGGGACTTGGGGCTACCATGGCTTGGAGTTGAGGGCTTACTTGGAGGTTCAGAGGTAGTTATTACAAGTAATTAACTATAGTCATAACCCATAGTAGGGGACTTATACTCCCACTTATAACTACCCTAAACCCTAAACCCTATAGAAACACGTAAAGGAACCCTTAAAGGAACCCGATGACCCCCACTTATAACTAGCCATGAGCCTCCAAACTACGGCTCAAGCATTCAGGGTTAGGTTTTGCGGGTCTCGGGATCGGAATCTTGAGGCTTAGCATTTGGGGTTGATCAAAGGGAAAAGGAGGGACCCTTAATGGGGACCCCTACCGTATATTGGGCTATATAATGGGGTATATAGTAGCTATATTAAGGGTATAGACCTAGGGGTACGTTATTTCGGGGTCCTGGAAATAAGGGTCCTACTATTTAGGGTACTATATTAGGGTCCCCTATTTTGGGAAACCCCCATTTGGGCTTGAAGTTGCAAGCTGTAGCATTCCATACGGTTGATGACAGAAATCCTGCATTACCTTAAGGACCCTAAACTATGGGAATTATGGCATATTCCTTATTATGGGTCATGCAGGACTTGTATCATCAACCGTATTTCTTGACTTCCGGTGCATGATTAGAGACTACAACCTGAGATTTGGGTTGCAGGGAATCCGGGCCTGCTTGTCGGTATCAAAGGTTAACCTTTTTGGTTATAAAGGGATTATATAGGGAGTATACTGCCCAAAAAAGGTTAAAGGTTGCCTACTCGACTACTTAGAGGGGGTGTTCTAAGATGCAAGCATGCAGGACGTGTGTAGTTTCTAAACTTCTAGCTTGGGTTCCTTTATGGACCCACTACTACAGGACCAGAAGGGCTCCATTAAATGCCATTGGGGGGTCCCGGTGCCCATGTAGGGTATAGGGCTTTAGGGTTTTGTCGCAGAGATCCTCCAACTCCGACGCTTTGTCCACGAGCTCCTTGCGCCAAGGCTGCAAAGTTCTAAGGCCCTTACGCTTGAAATCCTAAACGCTAGACCCGAAACCCCCAAATCCTGAACCCCAAACCCTAAACCCAAAATCCTAAAGCCAAAATCCTAAACCCAAAATCCTAATCCTCAACACTAAGCACTTCAATCCTAAACCCATCTACTCCGAAGGCTCAGCCCAAAGCTCCTTGGCAGTGAGACCCACAGCTTCAGCCCACTGCGGATCTGCCCCGGCCTCCTCTCACACCACTTGGAGGATCAGGGGACTTAGTAAGTTAGGTTATAAGTACCCTAATTGGGGGTTATAAGTAACTATAAGTAGAGTTGCCCTTAATTCGAACCCCTAGTTACTAAGCCCCATGATCCTTCAAGCATAGGCTCATGGCTTTCTTTGGACTTTCGCACTGCTGACTCCCTGCCCGATTTGGGCTTGCATGATGGCTTTAGGGGTTTAAGGGCTTTTCTTGACCGCCCGGCGCTAAGAGCTCTTTCTGGCTCGTCGATGGCCTACGGGGCTTTGGGGCTTCAAGGGTTCAAGTGTGTAGCCTTAGGGGTTGGCCTTCTGCATTCTAAGTCGGTAACATCTGGGTGGTTGTCAAAAGAATGGTCCCTTTTTGGGAACCCTAAATATGAGGTGCCGTACTGTATTAGGGACCCAAAAAAGGACCATTGTTTTGACAACCATAGGGCTTGCGAATCAGAAACCAAACCTAAAACTTACTAGTCCTTGCCCAATGCCCAAAGAAAACCAAAGGCTACACCTTCAACAGGACTGAATCGAAAGAGCCTCAAAAGATCAACGGTAGGGTAATGCAGACGTCAGTTAAATTAAACAACAGACAGTAATTAACTCTGAACTACCACAGCTTTCAATCCTTAAATTCTAATCCCCAGAATCACGAAGCCTACAGCGGGTAATTAGCGGGAACCTCGGAAGAGCCTTCAACCAAATCAAACACTCCGTCAAAATCCATCTAACAGCCGATTCCAAAAACAACAGCTAAGCGCTAAAACACTTGAACCCCCCCTACACAAAATCATGAAATCCTTGACCCTTAACCCTAAACAACAAGGAAGGAGCCTTGAAGAGCGACAGCGGCTGTCCCCATGCTGCTGTGACTGCGGCGTGTGCGGCACAAGCGGAGACGTAGGCATCGGCCAAGTTGCTTCGAAGATGCCTGAGGCTCTGTGTTGGGGCTGCTTGGGGCTTAGGGTTCTGTGTTGGGTTTATGGAAGCTGATAGGCTGTTGAGGGTGTTTACCAGGGTTTGCAAGGCGTTAGCATGTCAAGTGCGTCAGGGCTTGAAAGGGCTTCAGGATTTGTAGGGAGTTAGGTAGGGTTCCTTCCAGAGTTTCCATAAGGGTTCGACTAAGGGTTCCTGCAAGGTTTCGTCTAAGATCTGACCGGCTTTACTGTTTTAAGGGTCTTTCAGGGCTTCACGGTTTTGGGGTTTAGGGCTGTAGGGTGTCAGGGCGGGGACGAGGCTTTAGGTGTAGGGTTTAGGGCTCAGGATGCGAGTTTTCAATTGGAAGAGTTCTTGCGCAGCAATCTCAACTCAGAAAATATCTACCCTCTAAACCTTAAATCCGAAACCTCGAAATCCTGAACCCTATGATGCCCCAAAATGCAAGGGTCTTGGACCCGCAGATCCACTGCCAGCACCGGCGGGTTTGCAGTCGTGGGCATTCCCTGTTGGAGAAGGACCGGCATGCTTTTGGGAGAGTTGGTGTTTTGTGAGACCAAGGCCTGGGACTTGCTGGCCTTTCCTGTTCGGCTGGGTTGCTCCAGATCATCGGGTTGATCAACAAGCTCGACCTCGTCTTGCTTCTGCTGCTTGTACCCGAGCACCGCTGCACCAGCACTTACAATTCCGGCTACTGTAGCTCCACCATCCACGAACATCATCTCCAAACCAGACATTTCTTTCGAAGGAGCGCCAATTCACAGCCACCATTCCGGCAGCAAACGCTCATTTATTGCTAAGAAAGGTCTGATGCGACTCGGCAGCGGCAAGGGCGGCAGGGGTGTTCCAGCTGAAGGCACTCTCAAACCCTTACCAGACCCCATGAATGAAAGCCACCCGGACATGCGAGGACAGGAGCTTCAAAGGGGAAAGGAGGGACCCTTAATGGGGACCCCTACCCTATAATGGGCTATATAACGCGTATATCATAGCTATACTAAGGGTATATACCTAGGGGATACCTAGGGGTCCTTCTTAAGGGTCCCTCCTTTTACCCTTGGAGAGCTTCTTCCATTTGCCTTTTGGTCCCCCTCCGCTTTGCCAGGTACGCCCGCTAGAGTTCCTTTGACTGCAGCAAGGAGCCGTGCAAACTATGAGAAGGTACGGTGAGACGGGACGCAGAGACTCCAAAAGCCCTTCATTCAGGAATAGTGTCTTGAAAGTTGCAATCACAAGCCCTATATCGAAGTATTCCCTGCAGAACATGGCAATTAGAAAAAAACTTCTTAAGCTAACATGGAGGAGCCCTAGATAAGATTCTTCCTCAACTATGGGCTATTGGAGCCTCTAGAAGAAGAATGATCTCCACCATTGAGAAGCAGCTGACTTAGGGCTTGGACGGCTCAACCCTCAAACTGTAAAATCTCACAACACCAAGCCCGCAAAAACCCGTAAACAGAAACAGCACGAGGCTTCGAGGATGGAGACGTTTGGCACAGTAACGTACGTGGAAAATGGCTCGACAACGAGCTCATGGTAATGTTCTCACCCACACCTGGCAGAGTTGGGACTAGGATTTTGACCTGAAGGCGCGTCTTACGCGTTTCGATTCCTGATTCAGACTCCTGATTCAGGATTCGCAGTGGGCAGTATGAAGAAGACGATGTTACTGCGCGTTAGCTGCGGCTGCTGCTTACTGATGATCAGGAGGAGGACGACGACGTGTTGGCTGGTTTCGAAAAGAGCATAGCAGCATGAAAATGAATGCTACAATGTCGCTGATGGCCGGGACAAAGATGATGCTGTGGCTGTTGCTGATGCTGCTGCTACCTGCTGATGAGGATGATGATGATGCTGATGATGATGATGATGATGATGATGATGCGAAGGAGTGTCTTGTCGCTCCGCTTACTGCCTGCATTTTGATGAAGTCCTTGCATCAGCCGAGCTTTCCTATCCTCAAAGCGCGGAAAGATGCCACAAGCCTGCCTCTCCGTCCTCCCAAGTAATCGTAAGAGGGTTGTCGCTCGACCTCGGAGCGACTCCTACTTCTCGCGGGCCCGCAGCTTAGTGTGCGAGTCTGGCGATTTTTACGTGTTTGGGGTGCCGGGTTTAGAGGCTAAAGGCTTACTGCTGTTTGATGCGCAAGGCTTTAGGACGACGAAGATATGGGAGCCTAGTATAGATCCAAATTAGTAGGATCCCTGTTATAAGGACCCCCCAAAATTCGGTACCCCTTGTTTTCGGAAACTCCCATTTGTCTCTGAGGAAAGGCAGGGACTGACTGAGGACAGGTCGAGACAGTTCCAGTGTGATCTTCATTCGCCAAGGTCATCTTGACTTTGTTCGGCCCGACCTGCGCTCATGAGCCGTCGACGGTTTAGGTTCCAGGGCTACTGCCGTTTCTCCTACTACCAGTGCTGCTACATGTACGCCGGACGCGCATCGTAACTGTTCTACATCCGTTAGCAGTGGTCAGTAATGTCATTCTAGCTCTATCCCTGGGCTCGTCAGCGGTTTACTAGCACTGCATAACCCTTGTATGCGTTTGCAACAACCTTAATGAGACCTTCGATTGGACGAAAGTCTGGTACACATCCCGCGGAAATCCTTCAGAACCCTGCGAAACTATAGTGCCCTAAACGAAAACCAACACAAGCCCCTAACAACATCTGCCAAACCCGATAGAACAGCGCCCCCTAAACAAGGGGTTAAAAGGGGCCTACTTGGAGGTTCATGGGCAGTTATAAGTGGGGTTATAGCTTAATGAGGGTTATAACTACAGTTACCCTACTTATAACCCTGCTTATAACTACCTCTGACCTCCAAGTAAACCCTAAACCCTAATGTCGGCCTCCCACATGGCGCTCGGCTTATGCTTGTAGCGCGCCTCCCACACCTGCCAAGATACCAAAACAATGATAACGATGATTCAATAATGACATTAGTAGTAGTAGTAGTAGTAGTAGTAGTAGTAGTAGTAGTAGTAGTAGTAGTAGTAGTAGTAGTAGTAGTACTACTACTAGTAGTAGTAGTAGTAGTAGCAGCAGTAGTAGTAGTAGTAGTAGTAGTAGTAGTAGTAGCTACACTTGTAACATCAGTCATAAGTGAATGAATACTTTCAATTACTATTTGTGAAGCCTTCTTAATCCCCGCATGTGGCTGGAGCCGCTTGGTTTAATAGGGGGGTGGAGGCTTTGCTTAAGCTTGAATGGCGCTTGTCGGGGTCATGCTATTTTCTGCGGGGTGTTAGAGCGTTGTAATGAAGTTGCTGTAGGGCTTTGTAGGGGTTCGCTTTGGCTTTGAGCTGCAGTTGCAGGGTTCGGGATTTAGAGTTTCCCCTGCAGGAGAAGCTTGAATCAAGACCGACGGTAGCACTTCGCATGCACCCAATACCTAGAACCCAAAGCCCTAAAGCCTACATCCCCAACCCGAAGTCCCTAGACGACACTCCTCCACTACGCCGAGATGCCATGCTGTTTGAGGAGATCGTCCCCAGAGACATCTTGTCTTCCTTCCAGACGCAGGGAATGTTGGGCAGGGCTCGGGTTTAGGGTAGTGGGGTTATATAAGTCCCTAAATATGGGTTATAATTATAGTAACCATACTTTTAACCCTACTTATAACTACCCATGAACCTCCAAGTAGGGCTTCGGGTTTATGCAGGCAGTCTTGGGACAATCCAGAAGCGAATCACTTGTGGATCAACTACAGAAGGTATGAACTTCTCATACTTCTGGAAGCAAGAACGAACACCGAAGCAGGAACATACGTGGAAATACACAGCTGCCCATACATCTATGCATGGAGCAGCAGCCCGCCCTTCCAGGTTTAGGGCTTAGGGTTCAGGTTGCCAGTAGATCTGCGGACACAGCATCACCAGTTTCAGCGAGCGCCCGATTTTCAAGCAGTTGCGCCCTGCAGAGGTGGTCGCAGAAATGCGGGAAAAAGAAACAAAGGATTCATGCCTGATCAAATGTAGTCGCATTGCATACGGGCTCACTGGCAATTCCGCCTTACGGAAGTAGCAAGGACTCCCGACCGTCCTGTTGCTGCTACTGCGGCACGCAGAGCTCAGCCTAATTAAGCAAGCCCTAAAGCCCACAGCCTTAACCCTCTAACCTTGGCTTAGCTGCTTAGCTATCCTGCAGCGGCGGACCCGGCTAAGTCCTAAATCCCTAACGCCCTACACTCCGCAATGCTACAACACGAAAGCCCCGAAATCCAAAGATCCCTTCGACCGCTCCTTTCGTGTCCAATGGCCACGGATGCCATTCATCAGGTTATTCGATGCAGGCCTACGAGACAGGATTTGTAGTATTTGGGGGTTCGGACTTCGAACTTTCAGACTCAAAGGTCAGCATTAAGTATTAAGGCAATCTTTAAGGACTTGAGGCGGGAAGTAACGGAAGTTGAGAAGTATAATGAGGAGCCCTCGGAAGGTAACATAACACTTCCGCTTCCCTACACCCTACACCCTAACTCCTTGATCCGAACTGACCCCCTAATATCATACCCATGCCTCGTATCATATGAGGAGGTCATAGTTTGGGAGCCCTAAGACAAGAGGTTGTGTAGAGCTCTAGTAAGGCTTGGCGTTTAGGCCTCAGTGGGTTCATGGTTTGACTAACCACCAAAACACGCCAAGCCCTAAACCCTAAAGGTTTCAATGGGTTGTGGTTCGGGAATCTGGAACTAGACTTCCCGTCGCTTTGTGATTGTTTCCAGGATTCCGGGATTTCGTGGCGGCTCGCTAGGGGTTGCGCTTAGGGTTTTGGGTTGGGGATTAAGGGTTCTGAATGTATATGGGCTCATGGATTCCAGCACTTCATAAGTGCTCTTGTTGAAGAGGGCTGCAGATCTTTAGGAAAGTTTATTGTGGCTTAGGCTCATTTAGGGGCTGATCACTGCCCTGTAATTCGCACTTACCCTAACTACAACACTACTTGTATCATCGTGACTACTCCACAAGACTCTTCTGAATCATTTGAGCACCCGAACATGGAGCCCACGCAAAAGGGCACGATGTTTTATTTGGGATCTGGTTGCCATGGGATGCAGGAGGGGTGAGGATTCTGGTACGAGACTTGACAGTGGTCTTGGGGTTCAGTTTCACACCTCTTTACCCTACCTTGAACTACACACACCTACTTGTTTGCAGGGTCTCTCCAAAATTGTACACTAGGGTTTCTTATGAGAACGTACGAACAAAAGGTTCTGATAGTTTAACGTGAATCCTAAACCCTGCGGTCAGGGCCTCAATTTGGAGCCTTCTTGGTTAAGGCTTTATATGGTCTAGGGTTTAGGGTCAACTAGGATTTCCGGGTTTACAGCAGGGTTTAGGATCAAGCAGGGTTCAGGATTTGTGTGTTTACAACATTTCCATTGCACACTCATGTCGACTCGCTTGCTGAGGCCAACGCATGGAGACGGGCTGCTTCTCATCATCCATGGTTAGCTGCACCGTCCTATCTTGGGCTTTGGGTGAGGATTACAACCGACGAGGGATTTATATGCTGAATAAGTGAGGCTTCACCACAGGAAGTGACATAAAAACCGGCTCGCAACGGGCAGTCTTTACTTCAGTATACTTCAGTCAGTTCGCAGCAGGGAGGCATGGAGGCATGGAGAGCAAGAGAGAACTACTTGCCACTCTTGCAGAAAGCAGCGAGGGTGCTTCTATACTGTTTAGAGACAAGCTACCCGGATCCTCAATATGGTTAAGGGTTGAAGAATTTGGGGTGCAGGTCATCGGTCCGGAGTGCCCGGTACTTGGGGTTGAGGGGCTTAGGGCTTCAGGGTTGAGGCGTTTTGGGTTTGGGGGGTTAGGGCTTGGGGTCAATAGGGTTTGTGGATGATGTAGGTGTTGGCTCAACCTGGCTTGTAAAGCGAAGGCCTCTATGTGAGGTCCGAACGATAGGAGTGGCGTAATTCATGTCTTCGGAAGCAAAGTAGGGACCCGAAAGCAAAGATCTACCGACACGAGGCCGAGAAAGGACAGAAAGCCAAACCCCTACAAGCTCGAAGGCACGAACAACCAAAACTGCAAAGAATCAGAGGCCTCAGCAACTAGTTTGAGGGGGGAGTTTATCGTAATAATATGTCATATATATATATATATATATATATATCCAATAACCATAACACGGGAACCCACAAGGCATAAGCTTGCTAGTACCCCTTAGCCCTAAACCCGTACACATCAGCCACTAGCCGAAGTGTCCCTGCGTCGTCGCGCGGCTCGTCTGTGCAACCTGGTCGAAAGCTCACACAGATCATGGAAGCCTCCGTAGTATGGGAGTTTCCGAAAATAGGGGACCCAAATATAGTACCCTAAATAAGTAGTAGGATCCTTATTATAGGGACCCCCAAATAAGCTACCCTAATTTTCGGAGACTCCCATATTGCAATCAGACTAAGTGTTTTTTAGAGTACAAGTATGCCTGTATTGTACGGAAGCCTACAGAATAACATGGGTAACTCCTCGGGCTTCTGTCTTAGACCAGCTTTATCCCGACAGAACCCCAGCACCGTCTGTTTCAACTGCTCTACACTGTAGTCCTTGTACAAAGATCTTGTTAGCAAGAGGAATCTAGACTATCCTGCAGTCTCATAGCGACCGTGGGACCACTCGACTTTAAACTTGACAGTTTGCAGCACAAACTCAGACTGAGGCCATGACATGTCTGACCCATCAGGTAGTACGATTTCCAACTCTATGTATGTGTAGTCGTGGTGGCATCCGCCTCAACTGCACAACATCAACATGGCAAAGGCTACCCTGCTTGCGTCTAACTTCCTGCTGGCGAAGGAGTAACTACTAGCACACCGGCAGACGAAGAGAGCAGAGGTCCGCACTGTAAGCAACTTAGCAAACAAAAAGGTCCCTTGAAGGGGGCACTTCTGTTCCTCTTCGTGTCAGGATCCTAGGGCTTCGGAGGTGATTCGAGGGGGCCCAGAGTCTGCTTACCAATCTGAGATCGTAGCTGCCCGGAAGGCAGGTAGCCAAGTGCTTGAGCCGAAACCGAAATTACAAGCGGAACACAGCTCGTGCTCAAAAGCCCTAAACCCTAAACCCTAAGCATTGCTGCAGCTGCGGCTGTCCGAGAAATTCCGCCGTGGAAAGACTATCGAGGCAAATACACATCGGCAGGAGCTGCAAAGTGTTTAGGGTTTCAGATTTAGGGTTTAGGGCGTAAGGTTTGCAGTTTTAGGTTTAGGGGTTTAGGATCTAGGGGTGTAGGGTTTAGGAACCTAACCTCGCTCAAATACCCAAGGCTCTTTGGCAACACAGCTGAGAATGCCACCGTCCGGTGTTTTGATGTGAGGCCCAGATGCTACGAAATGCTGGCTGCGGAAGCTCCTTTTTCGTATCTGGCAAGGGACGCTATCCAAAGCGTCTGGGCTAGCGCAGAAGGCAGCAGTAATGCAATAGTAAATAGACATTGCGTCGCAGCAAGATCGACCTCCGCTCCCAAGATGTTGACGCAGGCTTCGGCAATCCAAATTTCTGTATCTTCCGACGTCGCTCTTGCTGCAGAGGCCGCGATGCATCTCCATCACCCATTCCAGGATGGTGCCGTGTGCCGAATCGGAGGGGAGTTGGATTTCCAAGGTGGGTCTGTCGGAGTCGCTAGCCGGGGCTGTCGCCCGCCAACGCCCGATCAGCTTCCTCTAAGGCGTTGCGGAGGGCACCCAAACCTCAAGAATCAGGAGCAGGCTCCCGATAGAAGGCTTATGGGGATTACGGCGTCAAAGCTGAGGGGGCTTCGGGGTGTCGAAGGCTTCATGTTCAAGGTTTTCAGAGCCTGTTGGGCTAGCAGGGTTTGGTTTGTTGGGCAACATTGGCTTCCGGAACGTATCCGGTCTTTTTTGATACCGGAGTTCCTTGTATCGACTCGTGAAACCTGCACCTCGATCTGCCCCCACTGCCCCTTCCCAGGATAATAAAGGGGCCCTAACAGTCAGTCAATGTAGGGTTTTTCTGCAGGCTAAGGGTTTTGGGCTCCTTTGAGGCTTCCTTTCAGGCATCTTTATGGGATCTACCAGCGTTCGATCAGAATAGGCTATTGGGGTACATCATGGCACACTTGTTTTTCTGAACCAAAGGCGACATGACTACCAGTCAGACCCCTATTCGCCTAGATTCGGCCTACATTGCATGATACTGCTACTGCTACTGCTATTGCTACTGCAAGTACTATGACTACGACCTACTAGTAGTAGGCCGGTGCCCGTTGCCGGACCCACCTTCTTACCATGTTTGAGGAAGATGATCATGATGAGGATGCTGAAGATGAGATGATGGTGGGTGCGTTCAGGCACGTTTCGGATCGGGTTGGGGGGTAGCGGGGAGTGGGGGTGGAGGTGGGGGGGCTATGATGACGACACTGTTATGCAAACAAGTCGAACAATATCTTCAGAAGAGCCGTTTTACTTTCGTGTTGTCGGAAAATTTTGCTTATATATATATAGTCACCAACCTACTTCTTTACTTTGCGAACTCAACATTGGGATTTCGGAGAGCGTTCTGCGACAACTCGAAGTTGGGCAGGGGGAAGCTTGTTTCGGGGATGAACAATACCTCCACACCCTAGCGCGCACGCAGTATGCACTACTTCAAAAGCAAACCCTCCTACGCCGAGGTCTGGGCTTTTGGGGGGGTTGGCGAGCCCTTTCCACGGACAGCTGGCTTTGTTTTTGATGTTTATAAAATGTTGTTCTTCAGGTTTTAGGAGCGTTAAAACCCTCTCGGCAGCACCTGCGTTCTGCACAGTGGTTGCAGCATTTTCGTGCTATCCGACCACCTGTGGTTTAGCAGTTTCTTCTCTGTCGAGTTTGAGGTAAAAGCGCGGTCGCTGTGTGCTCCCAAACAACAGTTCAAGCCCCAAAAACACACTTTCCGACCACAGTTCCGCACCTCCATCAAGCGAAGAAGCAAATGCGGTCGCGGCGTGGTCCAAACACCAGTTTTACCGTGCAATGCATTCACTATAGTTAAGGGCTACTACTACTACTACTACTACTACTACTACTACTACTACTACTACTACTACTGCTAATACTACTACTACTACTACTACTACTACTACTACTACTACTACTACTACTACTACTACTACTACGACTACTCCTGCTACTACTACTACTACTACTACTACTGCTACTACTACCATTACCAATCCTCCCTCCCCTTATTATTGCCCTGGGTGTACGGGTCAGAGGCCTACGGAGGCATCTTTACCAGTGGCTGAAGGATCTTTCTCGGCAGCGTTGCACGTCATTGGCAATCCGCAGCAAAATGGCCGCAGGGTGAAGCCCGAAAAATCGGCAGGGTGATACATACGGCAGCACATCCGACAGGAATCTGCGGAAGTGCGGGTTGCGCAACCCACCGCGTCATCCAGCCTCCACTCCATTATCAGTCCAAGGCCCGCCCTGCGAGGGAGTGGAGAAGCCTGGGCTTCGGAGAGCAACTGTTGATGGGGTGATCTGGCTAAGTTAAGCTTGAAGTTCAACACTGGCACGACGTTCGTCTCCTGCCAGGCTTCACCCATGCACTCAAGGCCAAGCGCTGCCATCTCCTCCACGATGCCCTCCGGCCATGTGCAGCTGTCATCGGCCTTGCGAATGCGGGTCTGAAATTTTCGGATTCACAGAAACCACTTGCTCTCCTGAGGGGCCAGCCATGGCAACCAGCTCCTCCTTGCTTTTGCCTGCGAACCCGTTGGCAAGCGCAAGTCCGAGACTTTCCGCGAAGATTGGACGGGCCGAGAATCTGGCTGGTAATGGACTTGCATCATGCAGTCCACCAGAGCAGGAGTGTAGCTGGTGAAGACCTTCAGGCGGCCGAGGCGTGAATGTGTGAAATGAATAGGCTCTCAGAAACAAGTCTGCAATATCCCACATGCCATCACAAGCAGACATAATTACACGCCTACCTATAACGAGTTACCTACTTACCTACATGCACGGCTACATAGTTGTACAAAGCTAGCGCACACACACACACACACACATACACACCTGTGAGCGAAATTGCACGTGGCGAGACGGGGGAGACACCCATGACGTTATTAGCGGCAGCATACACATACATATGTGCTAGGTTGGTACTTTGTCTGTCTGTCGCCACCTACCCAGTGCTGCAATGGTGAATGTTGGATGTCCACCAGGACAGCGGCCCTCTCACCCCTAAGTGCTGAAGCTGACAACACCTTGGAATCTCAGATGCTTGCACCACGTCTTATCGGTTCAGCTTCGCAGCATCTCCAGGTGATCCCCCATGAGCAGCGACACAAAATGATGCCATGTGGCGTGCCTTGTACTGAATGTTGTTTCGTTTCAGCTTCCGGTTCCTCAAGGAATGAAGGTTTGGTGGTCTGGTGGTTTACCGGTTAATTAGGGCTTTCCAGGTGTCGCCTAGCAAAAACGGTTAAATAAAGGACATGTTTCAAGCAAAACAAGGCCCCCTCCTGTAGGGGCCTGAGTGATTGGTAGCCGTCCTTGTGGGAGGCTTCCTACGATCACTGTCTGCTGAAATTATGACGGTTGTAAGCTTCAATCAGAAGTATCAGGACTATAAGCTATGGGGACAGACAGCACTGAAACCGGAAGCCAAACTCTGGCACACAGGCCATGATCATTCGAACAGGGTTTCGAGGTACATTGCATATAATATTTCAAGGTCTGTGGAAACCTATTGTTACTCACTTGCGAATTCAAACCTCCTAGCACTTACGAAATCACTGTACCATTCTGTGGTTTTCGCTGTCAGCAACTCGGGCCATAACTCGGTAGACCACGCTTTCGCGCACCAAAACCCCGGATTCGAGCACCAAAACCCCTGCTTCAGGCACCAACCCTTTTCAGGCACCAACAAGCCCTGGTTCCGCCACCACGTCAGCACCACCGAACGCACAGAGCAAGGTTTTCTTTTCTGCGGCACGATGGTGTCGGCGACCAAGTTGTTCGGCTGCGGCAAGCAGTTTTGGTCCGGGGCAGGCCTCGAGTAGGGCAGGGGCAGGCTGGGGCAGGGCAGGGCAGGGTACAGACTGCAATGTCCAGCGTCTCCTTGCATGGCACATGCTCCCTATATGAAGGAATCGCGAGCAATGTCGTTTTCCTCCTTGCACTGCTAAAAATCGCCGCACCGTTTCCAAAGCTCTCGCACGCGGCGTCTCGGATGCCGATGCACGGAGCTCACCGATGGCCGACCGCAACGCAGGCGTGGCCTTGGGTACCTCAGCCATCAAAAGTCGTGAGCAGCCCCGCTTTTCGTGTCCAATCCTTAATGCTGCTGGAACACGCACAGCGAGGAGCTTTTGTCCTTCCGCCCCTGCCAGCTGCAAGCGGAGCAGCGCATCCTTGCCGCAAAATCAAAGCCCGGAAACAGTCTCTTTGTATCGCTGGCGACGGAGTCCTGCCGCCGCCCAACGACATCAGCTGCGCTCCATGAGCTCGCAAGCTCTTGGCCCACGTCACCACGGCCTGAAAGGCTCACAATTCGGTTACGCGAACCCGTCAAGTCCATGGCAAGGCGGCCTTCTTATCCTGTTTCGGCGAGTGTCATCTAAGGCAGTAAACCAACGGCCAACGTGAGCACGCTTGAATAGGCCATTCCCTACCCTACCCAAAATCGTGATGACCCTACCCCTGGCTGACGAAAGTTCGATGTTCGAGTTTCCGCCTGCACAAAACGAAAGGCATGCCTCGGCATTCATCGCTGTGGAAGCTCTCGGTTTCGCAGCCTGTCCAGTCTCGTGCTGAAACTTTCCCGCGCCCCCTAGCCTACCCTGGCTGAGGGCTAACAATCATGATGAAACTTTTCTGCACTGAATTCTAGGTCATCATTGCATCATTGCTCCCGATCCCATGCTTCGATCCTTGCGATACTCACTCTGAAAACCAATGCCCGAATGCTGTGTTCGCGTAACCAAAAGTCTGGAAAGAGCGCAGCCTGCTTCGGTGTGCTTTTGCGCTGGGTGTCCTTTTCCTCCTCCGTGCTCCTCTTCTTTCCCCTGGGATGCCCCACCCTGCCCTGTATTCAGCAATAATCCATACTCCAGCAGGGTGTTCAAGCCCAAAGCCAAACGGAGAAGGCCAAGAATGCTCCGAAGAATGCCAAGAGCTATCCAACTGCGTGCGGCCGGCACGCTCTTCGGCAGGGTAGGGCAGGGTGTGGGCAGGGTAAAAAGGTCAGCTTGTTGCAGGGTAGGGGTAGGAGGGCGGGCAGGGTGTAGGGCAGGGTAGGGTAGGGGGCCAGGTAGGGAAGAGCCGCGTCATTTGTCGTGAGGTTGTGCATGACTGCAACCTGGCAGGAACAAACAGGGTCGGGTTGCGGGGTAGGGTAGGGTAGGGCCGGGCGGTATCAGCTCGGTCCCTTTTCTTGCTCCAGAGCTGGATTTACAGAGCTCGACAAGGAGGTGGAAGATGTGAGAAATGCTTGCAGGTGACGTGCAGGGAGCCTTGCCCTAGTACTGCGGTGCAGGGAATGGCTGGCCTCACGTATAGGGCCCCTGCTAGACAGCATCTTCGCTTGTGCCCACAAGCTGTCCAACTGGACTGAGAACCAACCAACCAACCTATAAACCTGAACCCTGGATACCTGAATAGATCAGAACCCTCTATCATGTATAAATACCAAAAGAGTTAGAATAAGAGTCCGAGGCCTGCTCGCCATGGCCAAAAGACGGAATCATAAGGCATCTGAACCCTCAACCCTAAAGCCCTCACCTGTCTGACCCCAAAAACCCGTGCGGCTGCGAAGCCACCGGAAAAACGGCCTTGAAGCTCCACGGAAAGCTTTGAGAAGCCCAGCCTGGAACACCAGCGAAGCGGGTGGTAGAGGGCTTACATCTCAAGTACGGGCTGGTCGGGTTGTAGGGTCGTGGGATTTGGGTTCAGGGTTGGAGCCTACCTCTCAGCATCACTTCCCCGGCTAGGACAGGACACAGCAGGGTCGGGGGGTAGGGTAGGCCAGGACTCGTGAGCTTCTTCATGACGGCAACCTGGCTGGGGAGGGTAGGGCAGGGTAGGGTAGGGTAGGGTGGGGCTGGGTAGCCAGGTCTTGCCTCGTCGTCTGTCGTCAGCTTCTGCTGGGCCGACCACATGCATGGGCGGCGTCGCAACATGTTTGTAATTTGTGCTTTGTCACTTGCTGAGGGCCAGGGGCGCGGAGGTTGGTGCTACCAGCTCATGCAAGCCTCCGCCTAAAACTGGACATCTAGCTTGTGTAAGGCTTTGTTTCGCTGACGACGGCGGCTCCTACTCCAGCCGATGCTGTGACGATACCTATCTACGATCGGTGTGGTCATTACTGCTGTGATACCTGTCCTTCCTCCTAAGTTACCGTGAACTTCGGCACTGTCAATGCTGGATTCTCAGACACATGCGAAGCAGCCTTTGCAAAGCTCTGCAGAAAACGACCAAGTTTTTTCGTTCGATTACACAAAATGTGAATGACACGAACCTGGGTTTAGCACGAAATGGGGGCCCGAAGAATCTCTGTCCCCAGCTCAATTTTAGGCCCCTCCCGCATTTCTGGCGACATGTGTGGCCGTGTGCGACATTTTGCTTCAAGACGCGGGTTTGCGGCGAGTCCAGAAACTTGAGGAAGGGATCGCACGAAGAACGAGGTGTCCATGGAAGCATAAACCCGAAATTGTCCGGCTTTATGTCTCGATGGAGCCAGCCAATGGTGTGCAGGTGACATATGGCACCACACATCTGCCGGAACATGAACACAAGCTTGCCTTCTTTGAGGCGGCCGTGCATGAAGAGCACGGAGCCGAGGTCACGACCATGCAGCAACTCCGTGCAAAGATACGGCCACTCTTCGTCATGATGCATGCCGAAGCTGCGCACCACGTGGTAGTGCGAGCACAATTGGAGCGGGCGATGCTCCCTGGCCACATCACCATTTCGACAAAGCTTGGCTACGACTTTCAAGGTTTCCAGTGAGGCCTGGACCACTGTTCCAAACGATCCTGCGCCGCAAGCCATTGTCTGCTCGAGCCACCTACCCAATACAAAGAGCCTCCTAGACCTCCAGGAGCATCTAGACAGCACATCCTTTCAAAGTTTACATGGGTTTGTCCTGTAGCCTTAATGGCACGCCCCAGCGGCCATCAATCCGGAAGTGCTACAAAACCCTAGAACCAAAAGCCCCGAGTAAATGGTAGGACCAAGTGTAGTTGGTAGGGGGGTGCCTACTACTACTACTACTACTACTACTACTACTACTACTACTACTACTACTACTACTACTACTACTACTACTGCTAGTACTACTACTACTACTACTACTACTACTACTACAGTACTACTACTACTACTCCTCCTCCTCCTACTACTACTACTACTCCTACTACTACTACAGTAGTACTACTACTACTACAGTACTACTACTACTACTACTACTACTACTACTACTACTACTACTACTACTACTACTACTACTACTACTACTACTGCTCCTACTCCTTCTCCTTCTCCTACTCCTACTCCTACTCCTACTCCTACTCCTACTCCTACTCCTACTCCTACTCCTACTACTACTACTACTACTGCTACCACTAAAGAAGCTGCTACCTCCTCCACATATATCAACCGTATCCCGCTGAAGTCCGAGACTCTGTTCCCGTCTTCGGGGTGCAGGGCAGTTGCAGAGCCCCGTCGGTTTGCAGGCGCACCGAGGCTCTTTGTCAGCAAGAAGCAGCTGGTAACCTGCTTGCTAATGTAGGGGGCTTACTACTTCTCAATAGGGTTCGGAGGACTACTGTGGTATCGACTGGGTGGGTTGTCAACCCTAAATATTAGGTGCCGTAGTAAAATACGGACCGAAAAAGGGATCCTAACTTGGACAACCACCCAGATAAAAGCAAGGAGCTCCCAGGACCACAGTTGGTGATTCTGGGGACCTATCACTTGGAGCCGAGCTCTACCACTTTAAACGCAAGGGCCTACGGACTTATGTTGAGTTGAGGGCTCTGGGGGCTTGGAGCATGCTTTGATCCTCGTCATGCGTTTGTGGTTTAGTCCCTTGACTTCAGGACTTTAGGACTTGAATGCCGCTTGCATAGTTTTCGGCCTCCGTGCAGGACTGTTGCCATTGCTGCTGCTGGTGCGCGACTTCTCGGATTTATGACTAACCCTTCTACTGCAACCTGCTCTTGCTGTGACAAGCCAGCGAAGATAGTATATAGAAGCTTTTGGCGCTGACCTAACCTTTAACCCTACCTGAAGGAAGCTCAAAAGCTGAAACCAGCAGAATTTTCAGCTGCCTTGGCCATGACATCAAGAACTGCGTACTCGGCCAGCATCTGCGGCTCGCTTACGGCATGGCTGATGCCCAAGACCTGAACCCCTAAACCCTAAACCCCTGAACCCTAAACCCTAAACCCCTAAACCCCTGAACCCCTAAACCCTAAACCCCTAAACCCTGAACCCCTAAACCCTGAACCCCTAAACCCTAAACCCCTAAACCCTGAACCCCTAAACCCCTAAACCCGGGTTTACGGGTTGGAGGAGATATCAGGGTTTGGGCTGCCGGTTTCGGGACCTACTTGGAGGATCAGGGGACTTAGTAAGGGCTCTTAAAGGGCTCCTTAAAGGGATCTATATAGGGTTCCTTAAAGGGATCTATAGGGTTTAGGGTTTAGGGTCTACCTGGGAGGATCAGGGGACTTGGTAAGTTAGGTTATAAGTACTTTAATTGGGGTTATAAGTAATTATAAGTATAGTTCCCTTAATTATAACCCTAGTTACTAAGTCGCATGATCCTTCAAGTACTCTATGACTGATCGGGCCAGTTAGCTGACGCCACAAGCCCTTCAACTGGTGTACGGGCTCTTCTTTTGCAAAACCTCCATCCTGCAACTCAAAAACATCAAGCACAACTTCATCCGGGTAATTCGCAGAAGCAGTATCGCCCCTCATTTTGTGCACAGGCTTCTTGATATTTTTGGGGCCCATTATCCTATAGTTATGATAAGGAACCACCAAGATAGTATGGGTAATTATTAAGGCCTCTATATATGGGAGATTTCGGAAATTGGGGTTAGTTTGTTTTGGGGTCCTTACAATACGGGTCCTACTATTTATTTAGGCTACTACACGAGGGTCCCCTATTTTCGGAAAAACTTATGTTACCAACCTTGAGTCCCGAACCCCAAACCTGGAATGCAAATCCTAAACCTTCAGGCAGAAGACTTCGCAGCAACTGCTCCAAAGCTAGAACCCTAAAAACCCTACAAAGCCACTATAATCATAGAACACCCTGGGTAGCGGGCCTTTATGCCCATAATGAGGCCGATTTAAGGAAGTGTAGTCCACTACCCCCTATGAGCACCTACCAGAACATACAGACTTTTGGCACTAGCAGCCCAGGGCACCTCCAGGAATCCGCTGAAAAGCCTGGGTGGCGGAACTTCTTCAAGGAGCAATGGCATATGAGGCAGAGTTTATAGGCGCTTTAGGGCTTAGGGTTAGGGGTTTAGGGTTAGGGGTTTAGAGTATAAGTTGAAGAGCACTGGTAAAGTTTACAGCGTTTAAGGGGCTTAATTGCAGGGCTTGCAGGATGTTAATTACAAAGCTTGTAGAGTTTGCATGGTGGGTCTTACAGGGCTTATAGGTTTTACATCGTTTATAGGGCTTGTAGCGTTCAGAGCGCTTGCAGGTCTTATCTACGGGCCTTAACCCTAAACCCCAAAGCCTAAGAAGGTTCTGGAACCCTAAACCCTAAACGGAACCCTAAACCCAAAAACCCTAAACCGGCCGCGGGGCATATACAAGGACAGCAGGATACCACTGAGCTGTAGCTCTTCTGGCCGCTTGGGTGGCGATGCCTGGAAGCGTTGCAGTACCTGCGGAGGGCTCCGAGTTTAGGGTTTAGGGTTTCGGGTTTAAAAGACATGTAAGCAAAATCAAGGATAGGGATATCACATATACACCCCCTAGGCTTTTAATGAGGCGCAATAAGGCAAGGATATCCCTATAGAATGCTTATGCTTATGTCCTTTTTGGGGTCCCTAACTGTACCATGCAGGTCGTTTCGTATTGAAAGGCCCTTTTCAAAAAGCCATTGGTTTGGACTATTAGTGTGTTGGTTCAGGAGTTTAGGGTTTCGCAGTCTTGGTTGCAGAGTTCTAGGGTTGCTGATTTCAGGGTTTACAGTATAGAGCTTCCTGATTTTGGGGTTTTCGGAGGGACTTCTTTGGGGCGGTGGACTTTGGAGGATTTTCGGTGGAGGGTCTGGCCGTCGGACGAAGATTCAACAAGCCCAAACCTTGTCTCCGAGGCTGCTCCCGGGTTTCTGCCTACCTTAACCCCAAGTAACCTACCTTTTGAAGGACTTATATAAAGAAATCATATTGAGGAACCCTAAAATGGTAGGTTCCTAAGGATCCAGGTAGTACATTGGGGCCTTGAATCCTTGAACAATCAGAACTCTACTGAACTTGGACCCCTAGCAAAAGTTATAATTTTAGCTGTTGCGTAGGGATTAAAGGAACCAAAGATTAAAACATATTTCTAAGTACCCCTAAGAGAAGAGGGTTGTGGCATCTGTCCTACTCAGGAGGTTTAGTCGGGGAACAACTTGGTAAACAAATCAAGCTACTCGCGCTCTTCTGGTCGCAGTCAGGTGCGTCTACTGAGTCTTCTGTTGGGTTTGGAGGCAGGGTAGAAGGTTTACAGGGTTTACACTAGGGGTTACATAGACTTTAGGGGATCTTTAGGGCATTTAGTGTTTTACGCAGGGCTTTGCGCCGGGTTTAGGGGGTATAGGGAAACAGGATTTGTGTTTAATGGTGCACGGGGTCTAAGATTAGGGACACACGCTTGTCTGAAATGCGCGCTCGTTGAAGCTTGTTGTGCCCGGAAGACTGTGAGCACAACAATACAGTTCTGATAACTAATTGAACCCTCAACCTCCGGGAATCCTGCAACCCTAAACCCCTAGACCCTAGATTGAAGTTGACGGGTGACAGAGGGGGGGGAAGTCGGTCTGTTTGATTCTGACTTCCTACCGGTTAACAAACACTCTCTCTTAATACGGCTCTCGTTGGGATCGTAATTTGGAGGCTTCGGAAGACAAGGTGCTTCTTCGTCAGGGGTCATACACATTATCCGAGACTCCCAGAACCCCTTACTCTTACTTAAAACTCATACACATCTATCGTCTACAAAGGCCCTACAGATCTCCACGATGGCCTCATGCAGCCCTTCCCAGAGACTCCAATATCCCTTAATTAAGGAATATTCCTTAAATTATAAAAGGATCCCTAATATGATTTAAGGAATATTCAATAATTAAGGGATATTGGGGTCTCTGGGTTTGTGGACCATCAAGGCGCCTCGAAGGAAGCAGCAGAGATGCAGAGCGTCGCCGGAGCCAGCAAAGCGCCGACGACCAAGAAGTTGTCAGCCCAAATGGCAGCCCCGGTCTGCACGTTTGCTTAGGGGGGTTGAGGAGGTTGGGGTTTCAGGTTTCCTTCAGAGTTTCTATGAGTGTTCTTATGGGTTTCGATATGTGGTAAGGGGGTACGGGATTCGAGGAGGGAGTTTGCCTTCGCAATTTTCACTTCCCTTTCTTCCGATCTATTCCTTTTGGCTGCAAGCGTAGCCCCGTTACCACAACCATGATTGTGACTACGCTGTTGACCATCAGCATCCGTATGACCGATGCTGCTATATTGTTCGGAACATGAACAGAACGAATGCCACTGGTATCGAGGCTGCTCGATAAAGGCGTATACTACCCAAACCCCATACCTAAACCTAAACCCCTACAGTTGGCGTGCTCGGTTGTTCTGAGCGTAGTCCCAAGCCGTTTATCCCTGAACCCTCATAAAATTTTAAATCCTGGTCCAAATCCGGGTCACCTGGCAAATCACGCCAACCGCCGAGAACTTGGCTGCTCTCTCTGCCACGGCGGGCTGTATGGTGGCTGCGCCAATACCACGAAGCCTGTGCTGCTGGGGCTTTAGCACACTGAGGTTTAGATTTCATGAGGATGAGGTCTTGGAGGTTGTAGCGGCTACTAGTGACTAGGGCTTCAGGGTTGCCAACGCATGGTGACAAAAGCCGGGCAAATAGGCAAACGGGGCTTTTCTCAACCGTCCAACTATGCATCCATACATGCATGCATGCATCTACACGTACATGTGTTGGTCAAAGGGTTGGCTTGTGGGGCTCAAGATCGTCTTAGCTTCTGCCATGCGGCCACATAGGGAGGATGACAAGATCTTGCAGGAATCGTGCCGCTAAGAACGGGGAGGAGATAGGCAGCGACAGCGCAAGCGGCTGCATCTGATAGCCGGCCTCCACTGCACAAACACAGAGCTGCGCAACACCTGAGGTCAGAAGCACCTTCGAAGCAGAGCTCGCCACCTCGCGTTCTTCCTGCTCATACTTCTGTGCCCTTTGGGCAATGATGGACGAGCTGGCCAGCATGATGCCCAAAGCTCCCCAGGCCACCGGATCGAAACTAAGAGTTGCCATGCTCAGGGCCAGGTGAGGCGTGGCTGCCGCAGTAGTCCCGACGGCCTTTACCGACCCCGCGCAAGCCAACCAAGCCAGCCCCTCCTGATAAGGCTCCGGCACCTTCCTGAGAAGTTGGACGGTTCCAAGAAAGTCGTTCGCTAAAATCTGCACTGCATCACCCAGACTGCCAAACCAACGCAGTCTTCGAGGTTGTATCGCAACAGCCATCAGCGTCTCTTGCTCCATCATGTAAAAACAACCAACACCAAATATCCAAACAGTAAGAACACACAGGCATGCAGCGGCAGTCATGCTGACTTTAGTAATGTTGGGAAATCAACCGCATGTGACCTTCCTCATTCTTCAGGCGTACCGGGGTATACTACGTGGCACCCGCCTCACAGACCCTTCACCCGAAGCAGCATTTTGAGCCGTGAAGGGCCTAAGCCCACAGGCTGCGGGGAGAGTGTGATGTATGGGTCTGTCTGTGGGGCCCGCGCATAAACTATTGAGTTCCTCCATATCATGTTTTGCCTGGGTCTTGACCGGATGCATAGATGCTCCCCTTCCGAAACCTTGAACTCCAAACCCTCAGAGACTGCCCCATGAACTGGTCATGTGCAGTCTTCAGACCCCTGCATGAGCACTGCATTCAGCTTCCCAGAGACTCCAATATCCCTTAATTAAGGAATATTCCTGAAAATATAATAGGAGCCCTAATATGATTTACGGTATATTCCTTAATTAAGGGGTTTTGGAGGCTCTGGGTCGTTTCTTCTGTGATCGCCGTCTGAGAAAGCCTCTCAGGCACTTTGCTCAGGGCTTCTTGGCTCCACTCAAAGAGCTCTGCAGGTTCTTCGCGTAGTCCGAGGTGCCCTCGTTACCTGCAAGCGGTACATCGGGCCAGCAGGACTAGCATCTGACCCGACTAACATACCTACTTACCTACCTACCTACCTGCTACCTACCTACCTACGCCTGACCTACCTACCTACCTCCCTGAACTACCTCGCCAGCTACCCACCGACCTACCTACCGACCCACCAACCAACCCACCCACCCTCCAACCAACCAACCAACCAACCAACCTACCTACCTGACCTACCTACCTACCTGCCGACCTACCTGCGTACCTGATCTACTAACTGTTGCGCTCACCTTGTAATTTCGTTCCACTCAATATCTTGAGCATGCTGACGACTACAATATGCGACAGGACCACGAATCACTCTAGCTCCGCATTGCCAGTAAGGTTTTGGACATTGGCACGCAGTTCCCAAAGGACCCTAGACCGCACAAAGAAATACATGAGTTAGTGGCCTCCCTTGGCTCCGAACCCCAAACCCCCGAGGCTAAAACCGAAAAACATCTACAAAGATTAAACCCTAAAGCCCTAAAGACCTGAAGGCCGAATCGAAGCCTTAAACCATCTCCCTGGTTTTGGATCACTATGCTTAGGAGTCTGATGCTGGGCATTGCGTCGCCGTCCAGGTGCTCACCTGGGAGTGTCCGAAAACTAGGGGTACCTTATTTTGGGGTCTTTATAATAAGGATCCTACTATTTAGGGTGCTATATTGGGGTCCCCTATTTCCGGAAACGCCCGCCTGGGTAGATCTTAAAATCTTTCGCCAAGCTGCGGCTGTACTGGCTGTAGGAAGAGATGAGGCGAGGACGACCTTCAGCGCCCACAACGGAGCTCTGGGGCTTAGCGTGTAGGGGCTTAGGGTGAGGAGACCAGTTTAGGGCGTTGAAGGGGCATGGGGATTGCTGCCATAGATCGCCGTTTGCATTGGCGGTGGGGGGTCTGTCGCAAATTTAGTGAGTTGTTGGGTTAAGTGTTTAAGGAGCTGAATTTGTTACCAAAACATGAATATAGAACCTTTGTTACTACATACCCCTACTTGTAACCTAAAACAAATTCCATAACAGGAGCGACTAGGATGCCGTTTTGGAGTGTTACGCTACTTACAACATCTTACAACCCTCTAAAATGCATACTATCTCAGTCCCCCGACCGTCCAAGTAGCATTTTGAGCTCTGTTCCGGGTGATCGAGGATTTGTTAATGTTGCTTTTGATATTGCTATATACTCTTATGCTTGTAACTACTACTGAATTGTTCTCAGTGCCTCAGTGCGATCATCTGTGCATTTCTTGTGCCGGCCCAGGGCGGAGGACGCCGAAGGATCAGTACATGCGATATGGTTTGAAAGGTTTTTTTGTTTTTTTTTGAACCCTCTTTTCCTCCCGCCCTGTCGGTTAGTTGGAAGGCCCTGTTGATAGGGTTTCGGGTTTAGGGTTTCCTTGCAAATTTTCGAACAACCATGGACTTCGACGATGCGTTTTGCACGTCTGTCCTTATTCCGGGAATAAGGAGAAGGAGCAAACCGCAACGAGGTCCTCACAGACCAGGGTGTTCTTGAAAGCCGCCCGCTCTGAACATGCCTCGTGCGCAGGCCCAGGACCGCCATCTTTAAGGGACGAAGACCATGGTCTCTACCTTTGGTGAGTAGGGAATGGGAGAATGGTAGCAATAGTAGTTATAATTGTACCCCATTCCTCCATTCCCGACTTACCAAAGGTAAGTCTAGCCAGATGAGGGCTTCGACTAATACTCTGTTCTGGCGGCAGGCTCTCCGGCAGTGAGCTAGTAGGTTCCCTATCTTCTGACCTCCTTGCAGGGAGCCTGTGCACCTCCTCTTAAGAGCTATCTTCCATCCAAACTTAAGAGGCAATCTGGGAGTTTCGCAAAATAGGGGGACCCTAATGTAGTACCCCAAGTAGTAGGATCCTTATTATAAGGACCCCCAAAATAAGGCACCCCTAATTTTCGGAAACTCCCATCTGCAGCACCAGACTATGCCGCTATGCCTTCGACGCTCAACAGCACCAGCCAAAGCTGAAAACCCTAGACCCTGAACCCCTCAAACCCTGCACGGCCTCCCACCAGGACTGTAGCCGGCGGAACTCCGCATCATCAGGCATTACCAAGCCTCCCGAGAGCTGAAATTGAAGAGCTCCGGTATATAAGAGTGAGATTTTAGGGTTGTTGCTACCATGGTATTAGTATGACTACTTATTGTCATCATTACTATGATTGATATTCTGATTCTGACGGTGATGATGACGATGATGATGATGATGATGATGATTCCTAACATGATGACGATTGCTATTATTATGCATATTCTTGTTCTTGTTATTGTTGCTGTTGTTGCTGTTGTTGTTGTTGCTGCATAAGACGCTTAGGAGTCCCGCAAGGGACAGGGTCGAGGGTTTAAGGTTTGTTAGAGAGGACATAGGGGTTTAGGGCTTCAGGCGTAATAAAACAAAGTATGTATAGACATGTATCGTATGTGTGTATAACCCTAAACGCTAAACCCTAAAGTGTATGTATGTATACAAGAGTAGGGAATCCCCTGGTTTGTGTTGGAAATCTAGGGGGGGATTACCGCCAGTTGGTCTTGACATCTAGCTCCTTCTTTGGCTGCGATAGCTCTGGCCCAGGGCTTGAAGCTGAATTTCGAAGAGCTAAGCCAGGGGCCAATATGGTTGCTGATATAAATCCTGCTTCCACAATTCCCATAGTTTAGGCAAGGCAGGGTTTATATTATCAACCGCAGTTCTCAGAAGGAGTTCGAAGGAATAGTTGTGGTAGTTATTCGGGCTCGGGCTTCTGTATTAGCTCGACAAAAAACCTAAACCCAAAGCCCTTGAGCCCTCTTTGTCACCTTTCCGTTGCCTCGGTAGTGGCTGCCGACCCACAGGAACCGCTGCCAGAAGGGGAACAAAGCAATGTCAACCATGGAAATTTCCTTTCTAGGTTGAGTTTAAATAGGGTGTGAGAGGGTTTCGAGCCTCAACAAGGCTTCGCACGATTAAAGCCTCAGTCTAGGATTAAAGTATGTGGGCGCTACGCGAAATCTGCAAACTACCCGTGGTGCCGTCCTGTAAAATACTGCAAAAAGCAATACATGGGATTGAGACAAGAAGTCCGTTGTAGACATGTTGTGCTGCTTTCGTGCGGTTTAATGTAGGGGGCGAATATCCCTTATCATTTCCAAAAAAGTTTTACCTCGCTACTACCATAATGCGCCCCAACCTCCTGTTTCAATGGTTCAGGCTCTTTTCATAAAACCTCCAGAAGCCGCATAGCAGCCCGACAAAAACGGTGGCCCAATCTTCCAAGCTGAGGAAATCTTTCTGCTTTGACGCTTGTTCCTACAACTCAGACAAAGCATGTAAGCATTAAATCCTGAATCCTATACATTGCACCTGCCCCGGAAGTCAAAAAGTACCCCAAGCATCATACACACCAAGCCTGCGCGACAAGACGAAGATTTCTAGGTTGGAACACAATCGTGGTACTATTCAGGGTAGTGAGGAGTCCGGCCCAAACGATCGCAGAACAACACTGGTTTTAGAGTGTCGGGTTTCGGGGTTTCCTAAGACTAAGGAGCCACTGAACCCTAAAACAACGAAAACTCCCGGTACAAGGTCCCAATGCAGTCCTTTCCAAGGAAGTAGGGCCCGTCTGTGCTCATGGCTTTGGCGAAAGTGCGGCACTCTGTGAAAAAGGCCCCTTTGGCGGTGGCCTGCTTCTCCGGATCCTGTCTTAACAGAATTGTCGTTTTGCATGGAGGGGCGGGGGGGGGAGGTTCAGTGGAGTTTAAATGCTTTCATGTAGCGCTTTCAACCAGCGAGATCTCAAGCTCTCGACGGCGTCCTGGTCCATCAGCAGCATGTAGAAATTCTTCTGCATCCGTTCCGTGACGAAGTCGGACCAGATTCGAACGTGCGCCCGCTTCAGCGGATCCCCCTTCGGGAGGAAGTAGGGAGGGTAATCGAAGCGTTCGTCGACATACCTGCAGCACGCAATGGTTCGGGTTTAGGGTAAAGTTTAGGGCTTGGGGTCAGTTTGGTTGCGAAACGAACCTCCAACAAGCGCTGGCACCCGAAACTTGATTGAGAGGTGAGTTGCACTCACCAGAAGCGATGGCAGGCTCTCAGGAATCAAACTGGCAAAGATGCGAACACTTGTGCCAGGCACAGTGCCAGAGACTAGGGTTTCATGGTTTAGAGTCTACGGTTTTGGGCTTTGGGACAGGGTTTAGGATTTGGGGCTGTGGGCAGCAAAACCCAGGAAACGGAACTGAATCCCCAGACAAACAGCTGGAAGACTTGGACACCACAGATAGCAGAACGGTCGCCACGTTCGCTTGGCGTGACTGTGTGCCTGCCTTTTGTGTTGGATTTACTACAACTAGTGCTATAACGCAGGCCTGATTATCAGATCGTTTTCGGGAACATTGTAACATGAGACGCGGACCAGAAGGGATATCATTATTCACTGATCAGGCAGCTACACTGTCTAGCTTTCTTAATTCTATCTGCTCGTCTGTCTGAAGTCTGAAACAGTCCTGTTGAAATAAAACACACACACAAACACAACACATGGGTGGTTGTCAAAATTATGGTCCCTTCTTGGGTCCCCATTATAGTACGGCACCTACTGTTTAGGGTACCCAAAAAGGGACCCCAATTTTGACAACTACCCATATGTCTACCAGCTGGTCAGGATCCCTAAGAGCTAGAAGCACAGGCATGACAAGTAACGAAGATTCACAGCAACAAGATCGGCAAAACACGCCGAGCATAGTAGCATACCTTCAAGCTCAGACCCTGAACCAAAAGCCCAAACTCCGAGTTCAACAACCCTCTATCAGAATGTTAGGAGATCCCCTGAATCCCAAGCGCTGTTGCATAGTCTGCTCACCGAGGTTCATTTATGAGAAGCTGAAACCTCAACAAGACCCCGACCCCGGGTCCCAAGACCCCAGAATACCCCAAACGACGCAACAAGCCCTCTCAGCAAGATCCCAACCTTAAACCCTAATACCCCTAAAACCCTACTACCCCTAGACCCCAAGCGGCGCAATGCGGAGCAAGATGCTGCACGACGTGCAGGGATTCCCAAACTTTGTCTCCGTTTGGATCTGCCACAGCCGGTACCAAACCCCTTGGGGAAGACTGCACGAAGTCGGGGTACATTGCCTGTGCAAGGCTTTCCAAGGTAGCTTTGCGATTTAACTGGGCTCTAATCCTGAACCCTAAACCCTAAACTATCAAAAGAGACTTTGAGGCTATAGGGCTTTAGGGTTACAGAGGTCTTACGCCGAAGACTTTACGACTTAAGGCTGAGGGGGTTCGGGGTTGTGGGCTTACAGGGCTTAGCATGTAGGACTTAGACTTATAGGATTCAGAAAGTTAGGGGTACCATTTTTGGGGGTCCTTTTAAAAAGGACCCTACTATCTAGGGTACTATATTAGGTCCCCTATGTTCAGAAATTTAGGGGTACCTGATTCTGGGGGTTCTTATAATAAGGACTATTAGGGTCCCCTATGTTCGGAAACTCCCATGGTGATTGAAACCCCGCCAAAGAGCTCCTGGAGGCTCCCCAGCCCTGCAAAAAACCAGCTTCTGGGTTCAGGGGGGTGTTTCTTAGAGGCTGCCCCCACCCTGTAAGCGTGACTATAAGGACTATATTAGGGCCCTACTATATTCCTATTACACCACTATTACAGGGTGGGGGCCCCTTCTAAGGTGTTTTGTTCGTGGGTGCGAGGCTGATCTTAGGAATAGTGAACAATAATATAATATAAGGGCCTGAATAACTAACGAGAATAGGGTTTTGGTGTATATTATGCTTTAGTAAGGAACCGAGGCAATCTTTTAGGTGTCCGTATCAGTTAACAACTCCTCATAGTCCCGAAAGTAGCCTACGTATGATCGTCATGAGCTGCAGCACCTCGCTGGGCAATGGGAGCATCTGCATGAGCACCAGCCCCCAAACCCCTTTTCCATAAACCCTCGCAGCAAAAACAGATCTGTCCGGCCTTCTTTACTTCGATAGGCAGCTGCTTCTTCGTGTATCCTCCTTCAGCTACTCACGCTTGCACCCAGCTAATCATTATCAACGGCTAACCTTGTCACGTTAGAGATGGTAGGATTTTATAGCGTTGCCGAATCAGAGTCACATACTGTGTGTAGTAGCAAGCAAAGTCGGCGCTGCCTGAACGAGGAGAAATAGGAGGGTTTCAGGCTCAGGGTTTAAGATTGGGGTGGGTGGGCCTGGGTCAGGGTGTAATAGCTTCATCAGTTAATCATTAGCTTCCCTTGTTGTGGTAACTCCCAACACCGCTTAACTTGCCGAAGGTCCTTGGCACACCATGGCACACCCTGAACCTTCACAACAGCCGCAAAGCTCCAAAATTTCAACATATCTGCTCCGCCTTAGGGTTTAAAATTCAGAAACCGGTACAAAACCCAAGAGCACGTCAGGAATTCCTGGCTACGAAGACACGCTGATCCCGAAACGTGGATTCCTGGAAGCTGCGGGTCCACTTCGTATGGGTTGATCTCCACGTAGGAGTAGTCCACACCCTTCTCCTCTGGGTGCTTCTTTTTGGCGCTTGGCATGTATCTACGTTGACAGCCACCCATGTAGGTTTTAGGGCGTGTAGGGTTTAGGAGCTCAGAACTATGAGGCTCAGGACAGCTAGAAGCAGAGCTCCGGGCTGACTTTAAAACCCTAAACCCCCGAAACCATGAAACCCAAACCCGAAACCCTAAATCCCCAAACCCAAAACCTCTAAACCCTAAATCCCTAAACCCCAAACCCTCAACCCTAAGCTTAGCCTTGACTATCAGAACTTCCGAGTCGGGCTATGGTTATGGAAAGGCCGAGCCGGATCAGAGCTTTAAGATGGACGAGGGTTCAAGCATACGAATCTAGTTCACGGCCGGGATAGGAATACACATTTCAATTCTTATCCCTTATTGGGTTTAAGTACCCATAAAAATGTAAAATGTTACCCAACTATGCCATGCCAAAGGAATAGGGTTTAGGGTTTAGGGTCAGGGGCGTATGTTTAAGGCTTAGGGTTGAAGGTTTAGGAACTAGCCTGCCGGATTCCAGGGCGCACGGGCGAAGCTTTTTGCGGCGCATTTGCGAAAGCTTGTGCTTTCTGGGTCCCCCATAAGACTTTAAGAAAGGTGCCTATAACTTGAAGTCCTACAAACACCTTTCTCTTCTCTGAACTGTAAGGCCCCACAAAACCCCGAACCGAACAAACCATCTACTGCACTATATACTACGTGCTAGATGGTAGAAAATTATATGTTGTACTCTATTTGGTCGCACTGCTTGCAAGACCATAATTTGGGAGTTTCCGAACATAGGGGACCCTAACATAGTACCCTAAGTAGTAGGAGCCTTATACCAAGGACCCCCAAATAAGGTACCCCTAATTTTCGGAAACTACCATTTGCTGCTCTTGGGGCTGGTGGCCCGTCCCGAACATAAAGATCTGGAGCCGCTAAAGCCAGAGACGTGCAACACCGGGGTGCCATTTTAGGGTGTAGGGTTTGGGGCCTAGGGCTTAGGGATAAACCGAAGCTGAACCTCAAAACTCTGACATTTAAGCCCTGAACGCTTGGTTTGCGTCCTTACCGAATCCTATCCCCGAAATCCACTAAACCCCTGCACTCCAACCCCTGGGCACTTGTCTCCTCCAGGGCAATCCAAGCACGCTGTGCGAAAGGGCAGAACCAGGAGGTGAACAGCTCCATCTTTTCTCCCTCCTGGGACTGTGAGCAGAGGGGTGGCTATGGGGTTGGAGTCCCTGAGTTTAGGGGTTCAAGGGTTTAGGGTTCAGTATTTAAAGTAGCGAATGGTGCCGGTTCTACCCCGTACATCAGCAACTTCCGGACGGATCCTTGAACTCACGGCACAGCAAACAGCTTAAGTAAGGGGTTTGAGGCTCTACCTCACGTCAGCCAAGTAGATCCCCATATACATCTCGTCTAGAAGTGTTATAGACCCCCCGTCTCACACCTGCAAACCCTTTCACTTCTCGACACTCTCGTAAAACCCTCAACCTTGTGCCTAAACCCTGAACCCTGGACCCTAAACCCGAAGGCCGATACCCTAAAACCCAAACCCCCAACCCCTACATAAACCCCAAACCCTCAACCCTAAACCCTAAACCCTAAACTACCTGCTTTTGGGGGTGTCCTGGGCGCCAGCTCCAAGGCGCTGAGCAATCGTTCGCTCCCCGGTGGCTTCCACCCAAGAAGGATGCCAAAGCTCATCTTTGGAGCTCTGAGCAGCCTCAGGGTTAAGGGGGTGTTAGGGGGATTTAGGGGGTTTTAGGGGTTTTAGGGGGTTTTAGGGGTTTGGGGGGTTTTTAGGGGGTTTAGGGGTTTTAGGGGTTTTAGGGGTTGTCTTAGGGGTTTTAAGGGTTTTAGGGGTCTTAGGGGTTTGGCGGGTTTAGGGTTTATAGGGGTTTAGGGTTTAGGGGCTTAGGGGATTTAGGGGGTTTAGAGGTTTTAGGGGTTTTAGGGTTTAGTACATATTTAGAGGTTTTAGGGGTTTAGTGGTTTATGGTTTAAAGTCTAGGTTTGGGCCTTAGAGAAATGGCGTTTGGGGTTTAGGGATCTGGGTTCGTGTGAAGGAATCTGTAAGTTGCCATAATTGGGATCCAGCAATAAGTAAACATAATAGGCTTTCCTGATTCTGGCTATGGTCCAGGTTCTATCATCGGTTCTGCAAGTTGGGTTCCCTAAGAGTTCCATTATCGGCCCTGTCAAGGCTCGGCCCACGGTTGATGATATACATCCTGCATTACCCATAAAAAGGAATATACCCTGATTCCCATAGTTTAGGGTCCTGCAGGATTTATATCATCAACCACATCATCGGTTCTGTTACACGGACGGGCTCTATAAGGGTTTAGCTATGCGGCAGAGTTTGGGGCTCCATCCTGTAGGGTGGAGGCTAGGCTTTTGGAGTTCAAGGTGACCCCCTGTGTGCTTATGTTTGTCCGTGTGTGTTTCTGGTGATGAGCAGGAAATGCAGTCTGCAGAGACCAAGCAGGAAGAAACGAAGGCTCTCGGACGTATTGTTGATGATATAAATCCTGCACTACCTTAAGGACCCTAAACTATGGGAATTATGGTATATTCCTTATTATGGGTATGCAGGATTTAGATCATCAGCCGTAAGAACCAGAAATGTGGAGTTTCGGGTTCAGACTGCAGGTCTTCACGGCTCAACCGCTGAAGAGCCCGACGAACTCAGCAAAGCAGTCTCAATACTCCAAGAATTCCCCCTGATCCCCACCCTCGGAGAAGAACCCCGGGCCCCCCCTAAACCCAAAGCCCGACAGGCACCAAATCATAAACCCGCACCAACTTGGATTACAGCTCTAAGACTCTGAGACACCCATAAAGCCCTGTAAGACCCTGCGGAGCCCCACCAAGAAAAAAAAACCCTATGAAGCCTTGTCGAACAAAACCCTGGGAAGCTAAGCCCAGTACATGTTCTATAAAACTTCATAGCAATCCATAAAGCCGCGTATCAACAAGCCCAGAAGAAGCCGTGAAGCCCCACAAACAGAAGCTACAATGCAGCTGCGACTGACAGGCCTTCTTCTTTCCTGGAGGCTCCTCACTTGACAGGCCTGGCTTGCATGAGGACTTTGCTTGTGGATCGTTCGATGGGGAGAAGCAACAGGAGCATCAGCGTCTCGCCATCGTCCTCATGCTCATCCGCATCCTCCTCGTCACCATCGTCATCATCATCATCACTGCCATCTCACCATCATCATCGCCATCAATAACACTAGCAAAGGTAGCAGGACCACGACATCTGTCACTGTTGGTGTCATGCTCTTTGCTACTGCTTCGTTATCTGAAGGTTCATGTTCCAACCCATCCATTCGGTCATCAGCTGCATCGTCATGAGCCTGATGTTCATTTGATCGTCACAATCACCATCGACATCCAGGTCAACTATCAGTATTCTGGTCCATCGTCGACATCATATCGAGCCTCAACTTCACCGTTGGTTCCATCGCCACTAGCACCAGCACCAGTACCGTCACCGTCGCCATGACATTATTAAGTCGTGTCCTGATCCGAAAATCACTCGTCAACCTCCTCGTCTTCAACGTCTGGCCGGCTGTGCCACGCGCCCGGGTGGGAACCAACCAGGTCAGCCCTGCAGTGCCCAAAGCTGCGAGGGCAGCGCGGGCGGCAGGTGCACGTCGGGCCTCGCTTGCAAACTCTTATGGTGCTGCTCTTGAATCCACCAACACAATGCATCCAGTTTTCGGAAATCTGAGGTTCTCTTCTTGGATGCTGATATTCGCCGCCGTTTTGGATCACACCCCATCGCCCGGCCAGCTCGCCAGGCTGGATTTGACAATGCTGTTGCTGTTATGGTTACGGTGGTGGTTGCAAAAGCAGTCAACGGCAGTGCAATAGCAAGTGCACAGTGAGGTTGTCAGCTGTCGCTGTCGTTGTTGTTGCTGTTGTTCTTGTTGTTGTTGGTGGTGTGTCGTGGTTCTAGTGTTGGCGAGTGTCGTGCTTATCATTGTTGCTGCAGCTCTAGTTGAATGTTTTGGTTGGTTGTTGTTGCTGCTGCCGCGGCAGCTTTGTCGTCCTCATGCCCAGTGAGCTAAGCATGTTTCCTGTCAGGCGGCGATCGACATGTTGACTTGGTGGTTGTACATGTCGTGCTTGACCGAGCAGGAACACCCTTTTACACTATGCATCCTCCAGACTGAACAGAGCAGGAAAAAAGGAAGGTCAGATAGATGATAGATAGATAGATAGTTCGCCGACTCCACAAACTGCCGAACCAAAGAAGCTTGAACTGTTACCGTTTACCCTATACACAGAAGCCTAAACCCCGGAGAAACCTCTTCCGGGCCTTGAAAACCGTGTGCATGGCCGGCAGGGCAGGAAGAAACCGTCCAGTCTACACTTGACTGTGATGACAGTCGAACATGCTAGCGAGGTAAATACACAGGGGCGCATTATTGGGGTGAACATAAACGCCCAGTTTCGGGTCGTTTGTCATCGATGGACAGGACAGCTGGAGCCGAGGTTTCTTGGCGGTCCAACAAACGCAAACCCGGATGAAACGTCAATTCTCAGACATCGGGTGTAGACACATGGCCTTGCAGCCGCACTATTGCCTGGGGGTTGAAAGTACAACTTAATGACTGTCTGACTGTTAACTTCACAACCATGGTTGTAAACTTTGCAAATTAATCTAAAAACGCATACTGTGTGGAATAACTTTGAATTTGATTATATACAAAATTTCTTTTAAACAAATGTGTTCAGCATTTCACGCTCCGGGAATTCGCAGGGTATCTGCTTGCAGGGCCTAGGCTTCAAACCCCATAGCCTCGATGTGGGCAAGGTTTTCGGTTTCAGATTCGCCAACCATAAGACCTAAACTGTAAAACGATCTATGTATGTATATATATATATATATATACACACATAGTTGTATACTAGTTTAATATGGTGCTGTTGTATGTTTATCTTCACGGAATCAAAACTGGGCCTATATGCCCTCGACCTTCATTGTCCTGCACTCCTCCGGCCGGGCGTCACTGAAGCTGCAATTCTAGGTGCGGGCATTGAAGCGGAAACTTTTGACTGAAGGATGTCTTGAGGCTTGGTATTCGTGCTGGTAGAAACTGTAGGCACTGTCCTATTGCTTCTAGTAGCAGATCACACTCCTATTTTTTTCCGGCTACCACCAGCACGACCACCACGTCAGCGGCAGCATTAGCATCTTCATCCTGCTTTCTGCTGCTGCTACTGCTACTACTACTGCTGCTACTGCTGCTGCTACTGCTGCTGCTACTGCTACTGCTACTGCTCCTGCTGCTAGTGCTACTACTACTACTACTACTACTACTACTACTACTACTACTACTACTACTACTACTACTACTACTACTACTACTATTACTACTACCACTACTACTATCACTACTGCTGCTGCTACCACTGCCTCCATCCTGCACGCCAGAGAGGGCAGCTGCTGTTGAATAAAGGCCACATCCTCGTTTTCAGAATGAAAGTTTGTTCGTCCTCAGGGTAATCATTCTGAGAAGCAGCCTGATGATGATGATGATGATGATGATGATGATTTTCGTCAACTCACTGGTTGGCGTCGTGGTCATCTGCGTCATCGGGTCAGCACCCCATGGAGTGCAGCGCCGGAGAGCTAGTGAAAGGCACAATGCATGATTGACGAAAGGTGACTCGCAGCAACTTTTATCTTTCATGACAAGGCTGAGACGTGTCGTAATGGCGGGTCAGACAAATTTGCAACCATGCGCAGGTACACACGATCCAATACACCAATACTGTAGCAACAAGAGACTACTCGCACTGTTCCAATGACAGCGGTCTTTACTTTGCACATGTTCCTTTGCTTCCGCTGCGCATGCGCAAACCTGTTCTGATGTACAGGCCCCTCACTCCACGTCGTTAAGATAAGACTTCTTCTTCCTGCGGGGCACGGCGGGCTTTCATGATTAAGGCAAAGCCTCTGCGAGTGGTACTGCCTACATTTGACGAAACCTGGGGCTGCAGACACACGCCGACACAGAGCTGTGCATAGACCTGCTCTATTACGACTGGTTCATGTAACATCTTGAAACCGACCTACAGACATACCACCATATACTCTCGTACGGCCATACGTACTTACATACCTGTATGCATGCTCCTTGCATACATACAGATATGCATGCAGACATGCCTTCCGACATATGTGCATATATATATATATATATATGCATATTGTTTTTCAATACCATTTTATATACACACAGACATACCTGCAACGACATGTATTTTGCGCCTGAATCGGATTATGCAAGGGCTTGGACGAGTCCTTCATGCCTACCTGAAGACCAGTCATGGAGTTCCTTCAGGGTTCCTAGCTCCTTGAAGTCCTTCGTCACGACAGGATGACGGGACTGATCACTCAACATGGGAACTGCAGGGAATATAGTTCTAACCCATGTTAGGGGGCTTGTAACCCCCCTGATAACTACCCAGGAACGTCCAAGTGCAGTTCAAATGGCCGCAATATTACACTGTAGAGACTGTAGAGGGGCCAGGGATGCAAGCTAGGCCATCGACTTGTAACGCAATCTTATGCATAAGGTTGCAAGTTCGGGTTCCGGGGGCCCAGAGAAGGGGAATGCGAAAGGCATGCAATTTTTGAGCCCTCAACACTCGCGCTCGGGCGCCTGTTGTGCCAGGATACTCGCTCCTCTTTCACAATGCTGATCTCTTCGTCCCAACCTTGATCGTGCGTTGTGGTTTCTGTCTTGGGTGTTGTGATGAAATCGAGTTTTGTTGACCCAGCCACCAGCTCCTTCTTAAGTTAGTTTAAACCTTAACACTTCTGGAACCCTTAAAAAAATCCCTAAAGAGCCCAAAGAGAAGCCTACAGGTGCAACCCTATACAACCCATGAACAACCCTACACACGGCATGAAAACCCAGTAGAAACCTATCGTCACAAGCCTATCTCAAATCCTTCCCAGACATTCCCGCACCCTCTTCGAACCTACAAGTAGGGGCCTAAATAATTACCTATACTATTTTGGGGGACCTTGTTATAACTTTGCATAATGGGCCCCAAAACCCTATTCTAATTATTAAGGCCCCTCTATTACAACCCTGTACTCAAGGAACCCCCCGCCTTGGTGGTTTGTGCGATCCATGCGCTGGCCTTCTTGGAGAGCCCAGAGTGCCTCGAGCTTTAGGGTATAGGGTCTCGTACTGAGGGTTTTAGGTTTAGGGCTTATAGGGTTTAGGGATTTTAGGCTTTAGGATTTCGGGTTTTCGCGTTTAGGGATGAGGGCTTCGGGTTTTAAGGTTTGGGTGGGGGGGAGAAGGGCTCTACAGGATTGCGTAAGGGGTCTACAAGATGTTGCAGATGTTTGGAGGCAATCTTCCTGCAGCATTTCGCGCTGGCGGCCCTGCGCGCTGGCTTTTGCGTTAGTTTCTCCGTGTAGGTCGCGACATGGCTCTTTTCCCGCAGGAAAACAAGGGCTTTTGTCGGAGCGTTGTGGGTGTTGAGAGCAGTTCTCACAGGGGTTGGGGGATGTAGTTGAGATGTGTAGGTTGAGATGCGTGGCAAGCCGTCACAAGAGAGATAATCGCAATGGCAATTAACACTAGCTGTAGAAGTAACAGGTAACGCCCGACAACAGTCTTTGTTGAATGAGGCGCAGTACTCAATCATCATGCGGGACTTGATAATGTTTACGCAATCTCTTCTGAGACTCCTCTGATAACAAGGTGGGGTTAGGTTTTGGAGATAGAGTCTTAGTTGTTGCTGCTGCATTCATACACCCATGCTGCTGTTGGGGCTACGCCAGTCTGTAATGCCACATCCCAACAAGGTGGGGGCTGTATTACGTAGTGCTACATGACGACCATGTTTACGACACACGATCGTCCATCTTGCCGCCTAAACCCAAAGCCCTGAACCCGGGACCCCAGACCCTGTTGCCGTAGCGCAGCAGTTCTCCCTAAACTCGAAACACCTAGACCCGAAACCTGACACTTTAAGCCCCCAAAACCCGAAACTTTAAACTTTAAGCCTAACCCCTAAACCCGAAACCTGACACTTTAAACCTCTAAACCCGAAACCTGACACTTTAAACCCCTAAACCCGAAACCTTAAACTTTAGACCCAACCCCTAAACCCGAAACCAAGCCTCCTCGTAGCGGTGGAGCTTGGTCAGAATGATGCCTTCCCGGAACTTGGCCTGCCACAAAAGTGCTGGGAGCCGTGGGTCCGGCAGAAGGATCCCATAAGGGCCCCTACTACATCGAATAGGGTTATGGGGCCCAGTTGTGAGGTACATGATGTCGGCAGTATATCTAATATGGAGACGATGGGGAATGGTGATTCCGACCGCTGTACTAAACATCCAAATGCTAACGTTAAGAACCCGGGACCGAGGTACGCATCATCCGTCCTGCACGGATAGCATGCTCCAGATCCTGGAAAAATCTCGATAACCCTCACCTCAAAAACCAAAAAGTAATGCAATAGTTTTTGGACTAGGGTTTTGGGGGGATCTTGACGTAGAGCTACAAAGGGAACACTACGGAGTTGCATCATAAGCTTTTCAGAACTCTGGTTACTATATACAGCGTGATAATCATAATTAATAGATATTGATAGACACTCCATAGTAATGAAGCCCGACAGTTGCTTGCGGTCCACCTTGTGCCACGTGGGATTGATCTCCAGAGCCCGCTGTGCATCCTGCGCAGAATACAGGCCCTTTTTTCTCATGGATCCTAAATCCTTTGAGCCCTCATAGAGCCAGCTAGAAATCTCGAAGCCTGCAACCCAGACCCTTCAAAAGGTTCCCGAGGACCGCCAAGGTCCGATAGGTCCTCATCATTCTGGTTCTGGGTTTTCGGTTTAGGGTTTAGGATATCATCACCATCACCATCACCATCATGACCATCATCATGATCATCATCACCATCATCATCATCATCGGCAACAGCAGTATCGTCTGCATCCTCCTCCCGCCATTCCTCCTCCCGGTCATCATCTCATCCCAATCCACATTATCTTTGTCTTCATCATCACCAGCAGCATCACCACATCGATCTGATTGCGATCCTAGTTCTGCTACTTGCCCTCATCACCAGCAGCGTCCTTATCACATTGAGCCAACACCACCATCAATACCATAACCACCAGCATCGTCATCACCGTCGTCATCATCATCAGCATCAAGCAGCATGCATTGGGAGCTGAAGCAGCTGTGTAAGAAGCATCAACATAGCCTCTGGTCACCCGTGTCGCTTGCATTCTGGTCAGCCAGGTAATCCCTTCGAAGCTAAAGTTTAAGGTGTAGCTGTAGCCGCTGTAGCCCCAAACATACAAAAACTAGTAGGTTGTGACAGCCCAGAGACTCCAACAAGGAATATTCTTTAAATCATATTAGGGATCCTACTATAATTTAAGGAATATTCCTTAATTAAGGGATATTGGAGTCTCTGGGAGTGTGGGTTTGGGGATCCCCTGGTGGGGCTCAAGTGGGGTCCTCAAGGATCTCCTCCAGCTTGAACTTCTCCGTCTCATAAGCCAGGCGTGCGGCCTTTTTTCGTCTGCAGCTTCAGGTTCGTGATGATTAGGGTTTAGGGGCTTTAAGGATTCGGGGTTGGTTGTTTATGGTCTTACGATGTGGGGGTTTCCGAACATGGGGGACCCTAACATAGTACCCTAAATAGTAGGATCCTTATTATAAGGACCCCAAACTAAGATACCCCTAATTTTCGGAAACTTCCATGTGCGGCTGTATGGGTCCTTCATCAACACAGCCCATGGACTTGCTATCCGACAGCGCCGGCTCCCGTAAACCATGCAATCTTAAACCCCGGAGCACCTTCAAACCTGACTGATGGAAGGCCAAAAGGGTGGTTTAAGATTCTGTAATATGAACTTTACCATGGGAACCCGAATCCCACTAAACCCCCATAGGCTAAAACCCCTTTTGGCCTCCTATGACTGGCACAAGCAGTCGAGACACAACTAATCAGCTTAGGGAGCACACTGCAGCGACGAGCACACACTCTACTTGAAGGATCATGGGACTTAGTAACTAGGTTTAAAGTTATGGTAGCCATACTTATAATTCCTTATAACCCCAATTCGGGCACTTATAACCTAACTTACTAAGTCCCCTGATCCTCCAAGTAGCAGAGGAGGCAGTAATCAGGGCAAAGTTTCCACTCTCCGTAAACCCTAAACCCGGGGTTTTGAGTTCTGAAGGTTTTCGCCTTCCACCGGGCTCTTGTTAAGGAAGTTGGCTGAAGTTACCATGATAGGGATCTATAGTGAATAATATCGTCTCTTTATTATGGCAACTTGAACTAAACCCTTGCAAGAACCCAGTCGATGCTGGATCTGAGACTCCCACTGCCCGGTTTGTGAGCGTGATGTAGCTGTCTGGATTGCGCTCCAGTGTCCGATCGTAGCACTTCACGGCCTCGTGTGGTTCTGTTTGCAGTTTTGGAAGATCTAAGAATCTACATCGTAGATTGCATCGGGTTTGAATCGGTCTTTATGCTTGCACTTACACGTAATTACACTTACTGCTGCTGCTGCTACTACTACTACTACTACTACTCCTGCTGCTGCTGCTGCTACTACTACTACTGTACTACTACTGTACTACTACTACTACTACTACCACTACCACTACCACTACCACTACCACTACCACTACCACTACCACTACCACTACCACTACTACTACTACTACTACTACTACTACTACTACTACTACTACTACTACTACTACTACTACTACTACTACTACTGCTACTACTACTACTACTACTACTACTACTACTACTACTACTACTACTATCCTACTATAGTGCTGGAACAGAAGACGAAAATGCCCTCTGACTTCCATTTTGGGACTGCCCTTGCAAAAAAACAGGGTACACCGTTCTCTTCGCCGTGACTTCGTCAAGAGCCGACAACAGGACATTTCGAGTTGATTACACCCACCCGATCATGCCTTGAAACGTCTCCGCGTATTCAGCAGTTTAAGCCCTGAGCCTTACACCAGCGTAATGAAGCCCCATAAGCCCCGCAGAGCCTAAATCCCAAAACCTGAACCCTAACGTTTAAGCCCTGAGCCCTCAGTCCTGAACCCTAAATCCTGAACTCCAAGCCCGAAAACTGGCCCTAAACGCCAGGCCATTGAGTCACGAGTCGCCACCACTTGGGGGATCAGGGGACTTAGAAAGTTATGTTATAACTACCTTGATTGGCGTCATAAGTACCTGAATTGGCGCTATAAGTAATTATAAGTATAGTTGCGTGGGGTTATAAGTCTCCTAAATATGGGTTAGAAGTATAGTTACCCTACTTATATAACTACCCATGAACCTCCAAGTAGTTACTGAGTCCCATGATCCTTCAAGCAAACGCAACTCGCAAGGCCCCGGCGGCTCGGTACTGTCCTTCCCTGAAGTACGAGTCGCCCTTGGCCTTGTTTAGCGCTTAGGGTTTAGGGTTTTAGGGTTTAGAGTTTAGGGCTTGTAGGGTAAGTGGTCCGGGATCGCAAGTCACCGGAATCTTCTGTGACAATTTGCGTTTCAGGCAGTTACAGGGAACTCCAGAAAGTTGGAATATGGTTTCATGGTAGGATACCCTATAATTTACCATAAAGGGTTTAGGATAATCATATTCCAACTTTCTGGCTTTTACTTTAGGGAACAATCAGCACAATACCTTGATAGTCCTCTAACCCTGGATTTCCAAGGTTCACGTTCGGGTTGCAGAACACTGCCCACCGGACACGACACACAAGATAACCTGACGCTCTCAGAACTTGATGTGGGGGCCTTTGTAATTAGAATAGGGTTTTGGGGATACTTCATACTATAAGAATAATCAGGAACCCCCAAAATAGTATAGGTAATTGTTAAGGCCCCTATGTTAGCTTCGAAGCCCTGGAAGCCTGCAGTGCCAATTGCAAATGATTGCAGGCAAGATTACATTCGAAAGCTTTGCATGAAAGTGCTTTTCTGGGGCAGCATGTGGGTGGTTGTCCTTTTTTGGGTCCCTGATATAATACGGCACCTATTATTTAGGGTACGCAGAAAGGGACCATAATTTTAACAACTACCCCTGTCTTTGGGGATGAGCGGATCGTGCCGAGTTCTGCCGGATCAGAGGCTCGTGTTTGTCACTCATTAACCCAACCCTTAACCCGGAATAACCCACCCTTTTAAGGACTTCTATAAAGAAATCACAAGAAAGAGCCCTAAAAAGGTAGGCTATTCAGGGTTAAGTTAAATCCTAAATTGACCAGCAACAGTCCCGCTTTCCATGTCACGTGTGTATGCCAGGCCTTTTCTTCGATCGCCTCATCGTCCCACAGCCCATCCAAAATCATCTGCTGGTACGGATCGTACGCCTCGCAGCGATAGTCGTAGTGTCGTAGTACTAGCAGCAGCTGCGGCAGCAGCAGCCGTGGCAGCAGCGGCAGTGGCAGCAGTGGCAGTGGCAGGAGTAGCAGCAGCATGGCAGTGGTAGTCGGGTGGTCGTAGCTTCCAGGGCTGAGGGCTTACGGTCCCTGCCCTTGTGCCTGGAAGTCAGTGAGGCAGAAGACATCACACACAGATGTGAAACACTATGAAGACCCGAGCACTAAACCCTCAGACAACATCAGAAACCCGGAACCCTAGATCCCGCATCGAGCCCATGTAGATTACTTACAGAAGAATTGAAAATCTTAAAGAACCCTGCCAGCCCCAAATCCTGACTCTACTGTGGATTCACACCCCCATCTTCTGGACGACCATTAGTTGCTTCAACCACGCTAAACCTAAACCCACAACTGCTTCAACCTGCTGCCCTCCGTCGAAGCTCGGACTGGAGATTGAAGCTCGAAGTCTTGGGGTCTTGCAACAGCTAGAATAGGCTTTGGGGGTATACCAGACAACGGTATCAGGGGGTTGCTGGGGATACTATCTGTATTTGTTAGAGGCTCTTAAATTAGTTAGTTGCGTCGACCTTCCGAAATCGCAACTCGGGATCTTCACGGGCTTTGTTCATGAGGATCCTGCTCTTTGTGTGTGTGTGTGTGTGCGTCTGTGCGCGTGCGTGTGAAATTTCGTGTTGGGCTTGTATTATTGGAGGTGACTCCCTGAAACACGAGACCATATACGGCTTGCAGAGATGAGTACAAACGTATACAACCCTGGATCGCCAAGCTCTACTTGGAGGTAGTTATAAGTGGGGTTATAAGTCAACTATGAGTTATAAGTATAGTTACCCTACTTATAACCCTACTTATAACTACCCACGAACCTCCAAGTACAACTGAAACCTACCCCACCCGCCCTCCTCAAAAGCAGCCACAGACCCTTCCAGAACCCTTGAAGATCCTCAATGGTAAGCCGTATACATTAGAAAAGCTGAGAGGACACTTGAGCCCGAATCCCGGCCTTACAAACCCTCAACCCCAAAAACGAAATAAATCCTGAATGAGAGCCCCTAAACTGCGGCTTCTGGGTGCCCCGGCAGTGCGACTGAGGTTGTGGTAGCCTTCCACGACGAAGGACCAGGGCTCTGGCCTCGAAGCGCGGGCCAGGTATACTCCGAGGTCCTCGATGATGGCTTCATCTTCCGATAATATATATATATATATATATATATATATATACACACCTATATATATATGTGTTTCATTTTATTCTTGAGCTCGTTTTTGATGCCTGCTATCCGGGTCGCAAAACATCAAATTCTGGTAGACCAGGAGTTTCGGATAATATAGGGTTGGGAGCTTTAGCTTTGAGGGTTACGGCTTTTTCGTGGCATCTTAGCCATGTGGGGTCAGGGCTTACCGGCAATCAAGGGTTTTAGGGTTCAGGCGTTTAGTGCGTCGGGCGTTTGGATTGAAGGGTTCAGGGGGAGGCTCTGGCTGATGGTGATGAGGGCAATTCAGGACAATGGCGCAGAGCATGGTGTGGTGCTGTGGAGATTGCTGTTCATGCTGTGGAGGAAGGGGACACAGCTGCGCTCAAAGAGAGAGTCGAGCATGACTCTCAGCATGAACATAAGCGGAGACGACGATAGACGACGACGACAACACTCAGGACTGCGGACGACGATGGACAACGGCAATCGTGGTGGTGGTTGTGAAGATGACGATGCTGGTGGCTACTTGTGGAAGCAGCACCTGCGCAGTAACAGGAGCCACTAATGCATGTGTCGCCAGCAGTGAAAGCATATAACTGCTGCTGCCTTGGGCTTCTGATGAGTCGTATGAATCTTGTGCCCAGTGTTCCTGCATCATGCCTGCTAGGCCTACTATGATTCTGGTGCAAGAGCTACAACTTAATTGCCATTTTGGAGTCAGGTTGTTGGCACACATTTTCAATTCCTGGCCTACGCCGCTGCCAACAGATGCTATACGTCACGAACCCTGAATTATTGAATCCTTAATTAAGCTTCTGTGTCGTGTGAACCCTCAAAATGTCCAGCGTCAGAGGAAGGATACCACAACACCTTCGATTTCAAGTTTAGGGTTCAGGGCTGCCCCTGAAAACTTAGGCACGAACGAAACTCAAGCCCTGCTATGCCGACCTTTTCAAACCTTCACGACCACAAGCCTTAAATCCTAACTCAAACACCCCACCATGAAAGCCACTGAGGCCGTCTGCGTTTGCTTGGGCATGTAAAGCTCCAGCAACGGGCGGCCCCTCTTTTGCCTGGGTAACTCAGCAGGAAATGTAGCTTAGGCATTTTCGGGGAAAGGCTTCAAACTCCGGAGCTTCGAAGATCATTGCACACCAGCATGCGTTCTAGACCCTGAGGACAAACAACAGTAGAACTGGCCTGCAGAGTACTATATGATGAACATAATTGCTTCAGCCACATTAAGGTAGTCTGAGACAAACCATTGCTGATCTTTGATGCCCCTGCATCAGGGTCCGTTAGATTCAGGGTTCAGGGCAAGGGTGATACTAGGTTTTGGAGGCAACTGGGCGACATGACATGCGATCTCGGAAACAAGATGCCAAGGTGCTCTGCGCAAGTCTGCCTAGCCAAACATGCGGAGGTAAGGGCGCGAAAGAATAGATAGGTTTCTATGCAGAACGATAGACAGACATAATCTCACATGGACAGGAACGCAGACGAGGAGCAGAATCAGCAGATGCAAGTTCACCTCATGAAAACATGGAATGGGCAGAAAGAAGTGATTGGAAGACAAACATATGGAATAGACAGCGATCTGGAGAAGCAGGGTGAGAAGTAAGTGAAGAATCGCACCGCTGCATACGCTTGCAAAGAGCACCGTGCAAGCTTCTGAATCCACGCTCTCCTCAACCCGAGTTCCCAACCCTAAGCAAACCTGAACCCCAAGCGGGGAATCCTTGAGGTCTCTATAACCGCATCTGATTTCTCGCAAACCCCACAGCGATTTGGGTTCAGATGAGTGCCGTTAAGTGTCAGACTGATAATCCAGACCAAACCCAGAAATCCAACTAGACTGATCTGTAGGAAGCAGCATGAACACCTTCAGCCCTAAACCCTGACAGCAAATTCCAAATGCTCTGTCCTCAAGGGTTGGCAGGCCGTGGGCCAGAACTCACAGGAGCATTGCATTTCAGTGAGTTGAAAGGCTGCACATATGTTTCATAGCCCCAGGGAAGGTTGACCCTTCCATCAATGTAAGGAGCTGAAGTACCCAGTATAACAAGCTTATAAAAGCTACTAGTTACTAGATGATCTAACAAGTTACTGAGACAGAAACATAACAGAGTGCCTTCCGAAGGCTTTGCAAGACTCCGCGGCGCAGCCCTTTTATCAAAAGTGCCGTGTTGAAGTAACCCAGTCAAGAGTCAATGCATAGGACGAGCCAAGACACTATGCAGCAAAGGTCGCCCGACGGGAGTAATGTAGGGACTTTCATGATTAGTATAGGGTTTGGGGCCCCATTATGCTATAATCATAATCAAGGAACCCCCCAAATAGTGTAGGAAATTATTTAAGCCCCTGTATTAGCTTAAAGCAGGGTTGTTGCAACCGTCGATCTTAGGTCCGAGCTCCACATGCCACCTGACAGTAGCGATCTATTCTCCAAACTCTCGGGGCAAAAGGGTCAGGTGAGACGGACTGCAGCTTGCGAACATGTTCTCGCTACTAACTGTAGTGTTGCAGATTGCAACTCGTACGATGGCTCTCCTTCGTTTTTTTTAGGGGCGACTGCATGGGTGCGGCTTTATCCTAATCTGAAGATCGACGGGATGTAGGTGCAGCACAGGACTGGGATTCATGGATCTCGCGGAAGCCTCGCAGGCCGACCGTTTGCATAAGAGCTTCTTGTTCTGAATCGGCAATGTGGCCGAAAGAAATGGACAACATTGGCGTCTATGTACTGTACTTGTGTGTGGGCCCTCAGCGTGTTACGAGCATAGGCCTCACTAAAGGTAAAAGATGCTCCATCCTCATTGCCGCCAGTAACATTGATATCCTGAGTCTTGCTTTCATTAGAAACAGCTAACGTTTCATTGTATAAGTTTCGTTAGCTAACTAGCAGTGTATATACACATATTTATGCGTATATATAGTTACATATATATATATATACAGGGAGATCAACACATTTACATGTGTGTAGACAGACATACATACATGTATATCTGTGTATGTATGTATAGGGCTCGAGTGGCCGCAGCAGCGCGGAACTACCGGTAGCCCCAGTGCCCATGGAAGGCACGCCTTCGCCTGGTGCCGCGCTTGCGAGGCGGCATGCAGATCTTTGACAAGACCCTGGCAGGCAAGACGATTACGTTGGACGTTGAGGCCAGTGGCACGTTCGACAATGGCAAGGCGAAGTCCCAAATTAAGGCAGGCATCCCGCCCGACCAGCAGCACCTGATCTGTGCTGGCAGGCAGTTTGAGGGCGGCCGTACTCTTTCGGATTACAAGCTGCAGAAGGAATCGACCCTTCACTTGGCGCTGCACTTGCGAGGCGGCATGCAGATCTTTGTCAAGATTCTGACGCTCACCTTGGAACACAGAGTCCCAGACAAGATTGGTCCCATACCTACACATCCACGTTGACGTCCTATGCCTCGGTCATCTTGGCTGAGAAGGCTTACCATGAGCAGCTGTCAGTGGCGGACATCACCATGTCCGCTTTCGAGCCGGCAGCCATGATGGTCAAGTGCGATCTACGCCAGTGCAAATACATGGCCTGCTGCATGACGTACCATGGCGACGTCGTTCCGAAGGATGTGAGTGCGGCATGGCGACTACCATCGATGACCATCAACAACCGATGTACCATCCAATTTGTGGATTGGTGCCCCATGCACCGGCTTCAATTGCGGGATTATCTACCAGTCGCTCACCGCGGTGCCCGGTGGTGTTTTAGCCAAGGTCATGCGTGCATACACCACGATCTCGCACGGCACTGCCATCGCCGATGTGTTTTGCGAATCGATCACAAGTTTGACCTGATGTGCTCCAAGCACGCCTTCGTCCACCACTACGTTGGAGAGGGTTGGGAAGAGGGCGCGTTCTCTGAGGCTTGCAGAGACTTGGCGGCCTTGGAGAAGGCTACGAAGAGGTTGGCATCGAAACGGCTCAGCTGAGGGCGAGAGAGGGGAAGAAGACGACGGCTATGAGTTCTGAGAGCCTCGTTGTTGAGCAGATGCTGGCCTAATAGGTTGGTCACCAGCATGGAACGATCACCCTGAAGGTGAATTGCCATGTTGAGTGTAAGTTTGTCTTTAGTGCAAGCAGTTAGATTGTTGCTGTTTCTGCTGATGGTCCCAGTCGCCTCGGAGAGGGCGCTGTGTCATCCCAGGGCTTTGTTCTTATGTGGGCATGAGATAGCTCCCTGGCCCAGGAGAAGACTCGTTCCACTACAGGGCGATCTCCGCACTGTCGTTTGATGTCTGTTTTGTGGCAGCTGCGATAGCACGGTTGACTGGTTTTCCTGTAGCTTTTAAAGCTTCAGGCTTTAGGATTGCCCCGTAATTTTGATTGAGTTGGAGACGGCTTTTGCCTTCTACGGTGCCGGGTCACTCTCCACCATTGTTTAATCCAGCGGCGATGCTTGCGCTAAAGCTGGGTTTTGCAGATTTCTGCGCCAGGATTGAGAGGCGCGAGCTGTAAATACACAGGCGCCTGCCTTCCTGAGCGTATACTGCTAAACGTTTGCAAGTCTAATTGGGCCGCGTACTTACCACTGAAGGCACGGAAATGAAAAAATGTATGTATGTATATGTATACATCTATTTCTCCCCATACACGAATGAATTGTTGCTACCCCTTTATGTCCAAGCCCAATCGTCGTCTTGCTGGCAGCACTCTCCGGCAACCGGGTGCCTGCAGCCTCGTCTCCACACGCATCCGCCAAGCTTCCCCTGCCTCTGAAAGCAGCTCAGGGTTTGTTCAACGTGGTTGCTGACTTCATAAGCAAAGCAAAAGTGTACATCTTTGGTTTTACAGTGGGTGGTATTCTGGCAAAACGTGTAAAGTGTATCTACTCAGCTACTTGTTTTCACAGGGGTTCATCTTCAAGGGCGTTTCGTTTGGAGCGTCTTCACGGGTTTAGGGGCTTTGCCGCTGCAAACTTCAAGGTGTAAGGGTCTAGGGTGGTTAGGTTTAGAGTTTAGAGGGGAAGGGCTTCGAGTTCAGAATCTACGGGGGTTGCTGCACGTGCGGAACTTTCGGATGTAGAGTTCTGGGTCACAGACGGGTTTAGGCTTTGGGGCCCCTGGGCTATATTATAACGGTTCTAGCCGCTAGAACAGTTTGAGGCGCAAAGTCAGGGGGGGATGTTAGACGTTTTGCAGAAAAAAACGCACGAGGCAAAGCAGCTCTCTGTGTGTGTGAAGCAGAAAAGCCCTGGGCATCAAACTCGCCCAAAAGCCTTACATAGTATGGTCTTCGGGCCCAAAAGCCTGAATATATGAGCCCTTAGATGCCTAGAGAAGCACTCCAAAGTCAAAGATCCGACGGTTTGGGATTTAGGAATCCCAAAATAGCGGACCCTAACATAGTAATTACTGTGAATAGTAAGGATCCTTATTATAAGGGACCCCATAATAAGGTACCCCTTATTTTTGGAAACTCCTATCTAGGATTCCGAATCAAAACTGAATCGCTCGACTGTTGACAGCTAGAACATGCCTTGGCCGTAGGTCCTAAACCACACAGGCAGCCGAAGCCACACATCTCAAATACTTAAGCTATTTTCATGCCGGAACCTAGACTCTATCCCAACCCCCACACACACGAACTCAGTCTTTCCAGGAGGTGCTGAGATTCTGGCAGGATGGGGGACTCTGGATCACTCTTCAGCCAGAACTTGACCTTGGGGGCAATGACTTCTGCTTGCCAGCGGCTTGAGGGTTTGTGACTGGGGGTGATATGGTTTAGAACTTACCAAAAGGGTCCAAGTATCATTATGGTATATACTTAGACCCCACACTACCCAGTGAGTATATACCATAATGATACTTGGACCTTTGGGTTAGCCAACCGAGAGGCAGCCCCTGCTGATGACACAAGCTCTGCGAAGTCCTCTCGATCGGCTTCGGAAGTGCCGGCTTATCGAAATCCCGGCAGTGCCCCAGATATTTGGGAACCTGATCGTCCGGGTCTGTAGGATGCGCGGTTTTGGCTGACCTAGCCGTGGCAGTGGTAGCTGGCGGTGGTGGCGGTGGTGGTATAAGAACAAATAGTGCTAGTGTACCCAAAACCAGCAGCAGTACCAGTAGTAATCCCAGTGCTAGTACAAGTAGCACTACTGGCAGCAGTAGAAGGAGTAGGAGTACGATTAATCACTACACCCCTACTACTGCTACTACTACTACTACTACTACTACTACTACTACTACTACTACTACTACTACTACGACTACTACGACTACTACTACGACTACTACTAATTAATGCTTTTGTTTGCTTTGAGACCATGAGGGGGGTTTGAGACAGAATCGCTAAGATAATTCTGCCAAGCCTGACAAGTTCTCTGACCTCAAATCTTGAAAAAATGCAGAAGTCCACTTCTTGCAGTGACAGTCCAGTTTTCTCGGCCAAGACGTGCTTGTGGTGGCGACACGTTGCAGGTGCATGTGAGGCACGGCAAATACCACTGTCACTGCCACTACCACTTTACTACTACCACTGCCACTACCACGACTCCCACTACCACCACTACTACTACTACTACTACTACTACTACTACTACTACTACTACTACTACTACTACTACTACTACTACTACTACTTGTACTTGTACTCTAAATATACCAAGGAACCCTATACAGCAAAAGCCTCCGAAGCTGCTTCGAGGACCCAACCTGCTGACCTCCAAAGGGAACGTCCAGGGCAAAAAGCTCCGAGCTGCCTTCCTCGCGCCTGGCGGTTGGGATTAAGGGGTTTTCCAGGGGGAGGGGAGAGGGGTTTGGGATGAAACTTAAAGACTTAGTTGCTGAGTTCATAGACCCCAAAGTGCACACTTTTAGGTTTACAGTGGGTAATGGCGGAGCATTATGGCAAAAAGTGTAAAGTGTATCTACTCGGCTACTAAGTATAGGTTTTAGGTAAGGTATTTGAGTTTTAAGGAGTGGGGGTGTCTTGGATGTCGGGTGGCTCACCCGGCGTCGGGTGGATGTGTTGGGGTAGCAAGTTGAGGTGTTCCAGTTCATCGGCCTGAGAAGCTATGCCCTTAGCGAGACCTACTCAACGTCACTATCAGATGCGGTGTTGACATGTAGCATGAACCGCGCACGGGGTACGCGCATATGCGCGCAGAGTAATCAGTGCATGACAAGTTTATGTCCTTCTACCGAAGAGCCCTCAGAGACGGTAGTCCATATGACTTCATCCGAGCTTGGGAGCAGTTCATTAAATTACTCCAAACCCTGTCAGGACCTGACTTCGGGGTCGTGGCAATAAGGACTGCTCTGCAGTGTCTGTAGTAAGGCTCCTTACTTTCTGGCGCTCAAATCCTGAAACTGTCCTTCGAGAATTCATGTAGACCCATGCAAACCCTCTACACCCCCAACCCTAAAGCCTACCCGTAAAGCAAACGAGCTACTTCTCGGAGTTGTGAAGCCTCACCCCTTGAGAGAACAAGCACTAAATGCATTTCGTGGGATCCCTCTAGAACCCTGAACCCCAAGTTCCTAAACCCTACAGCCCTAAACCGTATACTCTAGAACCCTAAACCCTAAAGCCCTAAACCCTATACTCAGTCCCCGGCTGCATTTCCCGCCAGACGGCAGGCTCTAGGGGAACTTGGACTAGCATCGACCTTTCACGGATTAGGGTTTAGGGCTTCGAAGTCCGGGGTGGTTGGGTTCCATAGAGGGAACTACACAGGTTCCTTTGCCAGCTCTAGAAGGGTTGGGGTTCCGCGGTGTAGGTAGGGGTTCCGGGTTCAGGGAGGGTCTCGAGTTTTGGCGGTTTTGAACCGCCAGCTCTTGTTTGAAAGCCTTCAGCTGTTCTGACGTGTTCCAGTAAACCATGGGAACCCTGATAGTCGATAGATAGGGTTTCGGGTATTGTATTATGGTATAGTAGATAAGGATTATCAAGGGATAGTATTGCCAAGTACTCCGACCTCTATATAACCTTTTTGAACCTCGGTTTGCTGAGTCCGGAAATATGACGGGAGGCAATTCCTGATTCGGGAACACGCTCTGTGAAGACGTGGCCATCTGGGTGTACCAGTCGCAACCAGGGGTGCCTGCGAAGTTTCAATCAGTATCTAAACCCTAAACTCCTAAACCCCAAACCCTAGGCGGGATAACGTGTCACAGACCTCTCAGGCCCCTACGTCACCCAGTCGCATCGTTTATATCACGGTAAACGGCGAATAGCAGTGCAATCTGAAACAGCAGTAGAGGTTCGGTGCTTTATTTAATGGACAAAGAGCTAGCAGATTTTCTTGACCTACAGAACGCCACTTTCGGCTGCAGGCTTGGAGATACGCGCCGAGAGCAAGAACGCACCTTTGTTGCCGAAATGCTTGGACCTTCCAAATCCTTACAGCCAAAGTCAACCCTTAAACCCGGAGCCCTGAACCCCCGAAACCCTTAATAAGGACCCCTAGGTATAGAACCTTAAAATAGCCATTATATATACCCATTATATGGTCCATTATAGGGTAGCGGCTGGGCCCCCAGCAGAGTAGACTCCTCCATGCCAAACCGCAAATCACAAAGGTCTTGCATCTTCCACTGTTTCGTCTCCTTGGGTGCATCCTGGCAGATGAGGGAGACGATGGGTCCTCATTGTAGTATAGGGGCCTTAGTAGTTAGAACAGGGTCTTAGGGCCCACTACTATAACAAGGAACCCCCAAAGTAGTAGAGGTAACTATTAAGGCCCTTACGTTAACCCTACGGATACCCTTGTCAGTGACTTCCAATAAGCTCCTGGAAGCAGAGCCTAAACTTTCAAGGCTGTAGAATGGTGCTGTCAATTTCACAGGGTGTGAACGTCCGTCTGTTGCGGACAGATTTGCAGTCATGGTACTTAGAAGTCCATCTTAACAAATAAATTTGCAGACCACAGAATGCAAAACCGACTGCAACCCAACAAGTTTAGGATTTGGAGCAGCTCAAGCTTTATACAAGGCTTAGAAGGGTTGTGGGTTCAGGATATGCGGCACCGAAATTCCTAAAATTCTTACATCCCTGAGCCCTAAATCTCCCCAAAATCCGACACCTTATGCCCTACACCCCGAAACCTGCCTCCAGCATTTCAAGCTCTTCGATGAGAACGTCATCGAGATCGGCCTGAATGCGGACGGGGCAACACGGCCGCAACGTTGCCAGCGTTCTAGCGCTAGGGATCCATGTGTACACAGTCAGTATATACCTTGGCTTTAAAGGGGTTCTTATGCGGCAAATTCAGAGCCAATGTTGTGAAGTAGGCAGCATTACATGAAGCCCTGTAAGGTTACCCTACATATGACATAGTGCATCCTGGCAAGTTATCCCACGGACTTGAGCTTGGTACATCTTTCTCACGATGTGCTGGTCCGTCAGATAAACCGATCGCTGTACACCAGGGTTTGAAGAGTTTCCGCCTCAAGGAATGCTCAGGGTCAGCTGCCTAGGGCCTGAGAAGGCAGGCAAGGCCACCCAACGCGGCCAGAAGCCTCCCTGCATAGGCGCTGCTCTTAACCTGTGGAGGCGAGGTTGGGCTTGCTCTGATGCCAGTCAGGGCCCACATCGTCGCCAGGGCGTAGCCCAAGCCGAAGCCCTGGATGGGCTTTGTGCCGACCACTGCGGCGGCCAGGAGGCCGTAGAAAGACACGGAGTAGACCAAGGCTGAGCTGAGCTTCGGAGATGTTCGGCTGCCTGAAGGCACGAGGTCCAGTGCCTGCCCAATTCCGATGCCCGAGGCCGCCGCAAGCCATCCAGCATTCAAGCCGGAGGCAAAGTCGATAGCCACAGACTGGAGCCAGGATCCTTCAACATCGATCTGCCGAAGTCGGATGCCAGCGGAGAGCATCGAGAGCTGGGCGGCGACCAGGTAGCCGGCGCAGGGGAGCAGCACACGGAAGCCTTTGGATCTTTCGGCTGTAGCGGCGTCGCCGGGCTTCTTCAGCGGCAGCCGTATAAAGCTCAGCTGCCACGCGTTTTGAAAAAACCAGGTGGCAAACCAAGACGGTGTTACGGCTTTGGCAACCTCGGCAGAGACTCCGCCCATCAGCACTGCACCCACACCAGCTCCCTCAAGGAGAAAGATAGGCCCCCAAATGCTGAAGGCCCAATTCGCAGGAGTAACCTGCGTAGGATAGGCGCCCGATATCTTCGCATTTGTGGGGCCTATCTTGCCGGACAAGGAAGCATAGTTCACCGCCAGGAGAACCGCGTAGCCTACCCCGAGAGCCGTCTGCCAACCGACAGAGAAGTCTTCCACCATGGCATTGAGGCTGCTGAGCTTGAGCTGTCTGTCTCACAGTTAAAGTTTAGGGTTCAGGGTTGAGGGTTTGGGGTATAGGGCTTAGGGTTTATAGGTTTAGGGTTTGAGTCTCAGGGTTAAGGTTTAGGGTTTAGGGTATAGGGCTTAGGGTTTATAGGGTTTAGGGTCTCTCGGCAGAATCAACTCACCCTACAGATCCCAAGCCTTACTCAGTAGGCTCCTGTGCATTGCTGGGATGGAGATATGACAGCACATACAGCAGGAGAAGCTCCTCGTGCTGCTACACAGCAAGGGAATCTCCAAAATCCTAAAACCAAAACTCCTCCTAAGATCGTAGCTGGCGCTACACTCTTACTTCACAAACTCAGTATACGCCCTGAAACCTATTGCTCCAACCTTAATTCATTTAAACGTAACCCTGAGCTCATACTATACTCCCTTTTAGAACCATAATAGAATTATTTTGTTTCCTCTTCTCTTGGGCTTTATATGAACAAAATAAAAAAAATCCTAAGGGGTCTGTAGAATACCCTGGAGATCGAAGCCCAAAGCTGGCAAAGCTCCGAGTTCCAAACTCGAATTAAGCTTCCCTCGAAGTGACGGCGGCCTCCTCCGTCTCGTACTTCGGCTTCACCGTCGGGTCGCAGTACGTCGAAGGTCTGGGACATTTCTATAGAGTAAGGATTCAGGGTTTATAGGGTTAAGGGCCATGTAGGGTTTAGGATTGCGCACTGGCGGGATTACAAGGTTGGTTTCGGTTCTTGCTGTTGGGTTTGGGCCGCTGCTTGGATCGCTCTTGCACCAATGCCGAACAGGGACCCAATTTGGAGAACTAGCGATATTGGGTTTCGGGATTTCTGCTTACACTTCCCTTACCCTAAACCCTAAACCCTAAACCGACAGGGTAACCCGTGTGGCATCGGCCAGTGAGGGCTCTAGGCATGTGGCATCGATTCCAATTCGGGGCGCTTCTGGGAAGGCTATCGCAACAATCCGTGAACAGAATAAGTTGGCGAGCAATTGAGAAGTGCTCACTCTGCCCGAGGTCCTGCGTCATCGAAAACACTCAACCTTGCCAACACCTCAATCCAGAAAACTGCCCGATTCCCGAGGAACGGACGTAAATTTGCCACTCTTGTCCATGATCATGGGAGTCTTCTGCATGTCCTGCGCACCGTGCTCCCGTTCCCAGTCCGTCAGACATATTTACCGAGAAACTCATAGGACCCTGCACTATCAGTACATGGAACCCTAAACCCTCAAACTCTAAGTGCATGGAGCTGCCGCCAACTGAGCTTGTCCAGACGTTGGTGCAAAGCTCGAAGCTGTGCACCCCAAAAATTAAAATTGGGATGGCTTCTTAAGGTTATACTTTACCTTACCCAGTCGTTCGTAAAGTAAGGTCTCTGAAACTTGCAAATCCTGCCGTCTCACCTCTTTAAGCCAATGATCTTTGAGCTTATTCAGTCCCTGCATAACAACACCCACAAACGACTACCGAAACCTGAAGCACCTTCGACAAAAACCCGTCAATCTCCTTTAAGTGGTCCCTAAACCGCCTAAACCCTTTTACCCCCCAAACCCTAAACCCTAAACCCCCAAACCCTAAACTCTGAACCCAAGGCTCCTAAACCCTAAACCCCTAAACCCTACTTGGAGGTTCACAGGTACCATATTGGGGGACTTATAACCCCACTTAGAACTAGCCATGAACCTCCAAGCAAACCCCTATCCCTATAGGGAACTCCAGAAAGTTGGAATATGGTTTCTTGGTAGGATACCTTATAATCTACCTTATAGGGGTTACGATAATGATATTGCAACTTTCTGGCTTTTACTTTAAACCCTAAACCCAGGGCTCCTTGTCCCACTTCATGCTGGGCCGGTTGGCTTCACGCTCATCGCGCATCAGCCTGCTCCAGAGCCTCAAATATGGCGAAGATATGCCTCTTTTTCACATTGTCGCAATAGCCGTGCTGATATATATATATATATTATCATTATAGTTCGTCTTATTAATATTATTACTAGTATAAGTGTTCCTATTATGTGAACACACATATATATATATATATATATATATATTCATTTATATCAGAAGGATAACTGGATCAGAATCATAATCATATTCGTCATCATAGCCAAAATATTAACCATAATCATCAGCATGGCATTCGTAATAGAGTTCGTAATAGTTTTGGTACTCATAAAGTACTGGTTGCAACAATACTGGCAACAGGTATTCGCTTAGTAAGACAGGCCATCGAAATAGTAGTCAACGATGCAAATAACAGAAGATGAAAGAGCAGACAAAACCCTCAAAGCTTAGTTGCAAAGCTGGGAGCCAAACGATCCTGATCATCTCAGAACAGGGACAGGCAACGCTGAGCCAAGCGAACTCCAAACAACGCCCCACCCAAAATTTTCGATATCCTGCAAGCCCTAAACCCTAAATCCTCAGCCGGTATCAAAAGAATGATATAAACCTAAACCCTCCTAAACCCCAGAACCCTAAACTCCAAATCCTTAGAGCCTTCACTTTCTCAGAGCTTTGCTTCCCGGGAGTCTTCTTCACGAGTTCCAGGGAGATGAGCCAGTATCGACCTCCATGCCTCAAGGGGGACTTTCGCGATCCTAGGGTTTAAGGGTTGTTTAGGGGTTTAAGGGTTCAGGGTTTCGGGCTTCGAGATTTGAGGGTCTCGGGTTTTGACTTAGGCTTTCTGGGCTTAGGGATGTTAGGGTGTAGGGTTTGAAGGCCTAGGGATTCGGATTGAAGGTTGAGGGCTTAATTACCCTTGAGACTCCAACATCCCTGAATTGGGGAATATTCCTTAAATCAAATTTAGGGATCCTATTATAATTTAAGGAGTATTCTTTAAGGGATAGTGAAGTCTCTGGGTGGGACGTTAGAGCTTCAGGGTCAAGGGCTTGCAGGTTTAGGGCTTATAGGATTCTGGGCTTAGGGCCCAAAATTTGTTAAAATTAGGTTGACGGCCTTCTTCGTTCGCCTGCCCGAGTCGGCTCCTAACTAGATTTCTGTTCCTGCCCAAGGTTTGGGGCTTGGGGTTTGGAGCTTGAGGCTCAAGGCTCACGGCTGGCCTTCGAAGGCTTTGCCGAAGGGCTTCAAGAAAAGGGCTGAGGGTAGCAACAACAGCATTGGCGGAACCAGCCTCATGAGAACGTACGGCAGCCGCAGTTCTGTAAGAAGCTTAATTTCTAGGTCTCGCAGAGCCTATACCCTCGACCCTGACCCACCCACTCACTGAACTCCAGCCTACACTCGCAGTAGTACTTAACTACCTCAAGCCTGTTTGTGCCTTAAGCCGCCAAGCCCAACGAGGACCAATGCCTGATGCCGAAATCCCGAAACCCTAACTGTCCTTGTGGGGTTTAGGGTTTAGGGTTTAGGTGTCTGTGGCGCAAGGATCCCTCTATCAGCCTCGCGTGGATCATCGGAGAGCCGGTTCATAAATCCGCAACCCGAAGCCACGCGCCCCACCTTGCTATCAAGTCTGAACTCGAACCAAATCCATGAACGGAGATCTGCTCAGGGGTTCGGGTTAAGTTACCATCATGAGGAAGCCAAATTACATACGATAGATCCCTATTATGCATGCAGAAAAGCTCTAAGCAAAACCCAATCCATCCCAGTTCAGGAACCCTCAAAGAGCCGTATAGAGACCTTGTGGAACCTTATAAGAACCCTGAAGCCCACCAAGGGCCGAGCTTGGTCATGGTCCAGTAGCATTTCTCCTTGTTCAGCTGCTGCAAAGTCGGCCTTGCTTAGGGTCTCGGCCTTTTTGAGTACACTGGGGTTATATGGGATTTTCCAAAAAGGTTACCTACTCTACTACTAGGTCGGGCTCGGATTGCAATGTTGAGGGTGTGGGCTTTTTAGCTTCTGGTATCGGTCCCGGGACTGGGATTAGGGTTCAGGCTTAAAGGCTTAGGGTTTAGGGTCTTGGATGAAGGATAGCGCGAAGTTTAGGGCTTGGGATGAATCTTGCGGCTTTCTTTTGATCAGGGGTGCCACCGAATTCCATGAGGGGTCTAGGCAATCTTCTTCAGCGGAATTGCTTGAATATCGGGGTCTTCACACTTCCAACAGGGCTTTGCACTACATGCTGACATAAGACGTGGAACATGCAGGGGGCCGGAATATGCATCAAAGAATCGGTTTGGGGCTTTCTGGCTCGAGCCGAGGAGTCTGGGTACCTCGGCCTTAGAGATAAGCTTCCCCTGGTTCTGAGCGGAAGCTTCAGGGGATTGGAGGGGAGCACTAAACTCGTAACCCGAAAATCTGCACCACGAAACGAACGTGGGGAAGTTGGAAGATGGATCTAGGATGATGAATCAATGCAGGAAGTCCGTATACTTCACCCGAGCTTGCATGAGGATAATGATGTTCCAACTTTCTGACTTCTACCTCAAAGCAGACCTCTGGCGCTGGGCTTCGCGCCCGTGCAAGCCGCGGATCATGTGCCACGCAGAGCTTCCACCGCCTAAGGCTTCCAGGTAGCTGCGTTGTGGCGATTCGTCGAGCTTTATGGGCCTCAACACTGTTAACAGGGCCTTGGAGTATAAGATTGTAAAGTCGAATAGTTATTGTTAGTCATTTATTAAGCTTCTATATGTGCAACAGTATGAGAAGGCACTTCATAGCCATATTCATACATGCATACATATGTGTCGGTCCACGCACCTATAGCTATCTGCTTTCCTTGCCAATCAACAGACTGCAGACCTATCAGTCCTGTACACACGTCCAAACCATGTTTCTGATGTCATCCCCTGCCATAAAGACTTCTGGGTTCTTGTTAAAGGTTTCAATTTTAATGAATTTACCATAATAAAAATAACAATACTATTTAGTATGGGTCCCTATTATGATAACTTAAAACAGATCCTTAACAAGAACCCAGAATTTCACGTGTGGGACTTTTCGAGATCGGGACTCTTAGGTTTTTCGAGCCGAGGGGTCGAAAACGAGGACCTTCTAAATTCGAATTGTGGTGCGACCTGGGACTCTAGGGGATTTCTTTTGATTACTTGGAGGCTCATTAGAGGTTCATGGGTAGTTGTAAGTAGAGTTATAAGTAGGGTAACTATAGTTCGGAGCCTTATAACCCCACTTATAACTATCCATGAACCTCCAAGTACTCGTTATCCGGACTCCCAGAATAGAGCTAAGGGGGTTTAGGGTTTCCGGAGCTCCCTTGAGAAGAAGGGTGTATAGGGTGGGATCAAAGGATCTTGCTCCGGTGCGAGAGAAGCGGCCCGGACCACCTCAGCTTGTCGGTGAGAGCGTTTAAGGTCAAGGGCTTACGCTGTAGGGTTTAGGGGTTTGACCATCTAAACTTCCAGTTTTAAGAGAATCAAAATTCCCAAAAAGCTTGAAGTTTGTAAACTCGGCTACTCCCATCAACCCCAAAGTAGTTCCTTTTTGGGAGTACCTTATAGGATTCTATATACGAACCCCAAAAAGGAACTACTTTGGGGCCTTGGGGTTAAGACTAACTTCGCAGATCCCGGGCCACGTCTGGGGCTCCCAACGCTTGCAGACCTCCCAGGCTCACTTCGAAGGGGCCGAAATATCGAATAAGTGGTAAAGTTTAGGGTTCATTTTTATTTTTTAAAGAGTTTAGGGTTCATTTTTTTTCAAGAGTTTAGGGTTTAGGGGTTTAGGGCTTGTAGGATTTGCATGCAGGTATGTGTACAAGACAGGTATACTCGGGCCTATTCGGAACCATAGCGGGGGTATTGCTACGGTAAGAGGGTACCATGACTCAGAAGATAACGCGAGTGAAAACGATGCCAAAATCAAAGAAAAGGTCAACAGTGACAAATGCTATCGGCTTCATGTCAGGCCGCAGATGCAGGGCTCGAAGGGGTACCACTCCTTTAAAGCCGACCTCGATGCTTCGTTCGGTGAACTTGATCATCATGTCGTTGGGCGTGAGGTCCTCCACGCCTGACAATCTTAAAACGGTTAGGGTGCAAAGCAAATAGACTGGAATCCTAAACCCTAAAATCTGGAGCTCAGGCTTTGCTAGCTTCGGGTCTTGGTAGTACCTGATGCGCCCGGGCCTATGGAGTGCAAAGGCAGGAGCAGCCAACTGTCACAGCACCACAATTACAGCCATCATCGCTGAAATTCTGGTTAGACTCGTGGTTATCACCATAACCAGAAAACTGTTGATCTTAGTACACTACAAACATTAGCATTCCTTTTCAGATGCCACCGTCACAGCAAGCTTGGGTCGTCTTGTCGCCGGTGCTGAAAAGCCCAATAACAGCACAAACACTCTCTTGGCCTTTCCGACTGTCCCATTCGCTGGTGATCTTGTGAATCTGCCGGGAGCCGCCACCTCCGCCACTGAAGACGATGCACATAAGGGTTTTGGGGATTTCAGGGCTTCGGTTTAGGCGGTTTAAGATGGAGAAAGGAAAGTACCCAAGGACACTGTAGGCCGTAGGCCTCAAAGCTTCTCACACTCTTCATGCGAGCTGCGCCAATCAGGCCTGAATAATCGGAATATGGCTCTGGTACATATTTTCGTGCAAGAACAAATATCAAGACGAGTATTGAGAATTATGTGAAGGAACACAAGGGAATGGCATTACGAAGTTTGTCCGGCTGTTATATGAAGGCTCTGTCGTTGATCTGTCTTTGCAGACTTCAAGGGTCTCTTGCGGAACAGACAGCCGGAATCAAATTTGGATTGCTGGAATTAGGATGTTTTGGGGTTGACTGCGGGGGACTACCCGTGACTACCCTATTTAGGTACTAGGTATCCTTGAAATGAGATTGTGCTAGGCTAGGCAATGCTGCCATATGATTGAGATCTTGTCGGGTGATCAGGTGAATATAGGTGCCTTAATATTTTAGAATAGGGCGCCGCAGATTGGCTGAATGTACCTCAGGAACCTGCTACTTAACGAGTTTGTCCGTGTGTGGGTTCTGTAATTACGACCTAAAACTGTCGAGAAACAACCATGCACAGTATTAGCACCACAGCACAACCTATAAAGCCGAACCCGAAGCCCGCAACCCTAAACCAACACTCTCCACCCACTGCTATCAAAAATCAGGAGTCAGGATTTGGGGGACCCTTGAAAATAGAGGCCACCTCAACAACGTCGCTGTTAAGAGAGCCAGAATTTGGGTTAAGAAGGTCCCCTTCAAGGGGTCTCCCTAATGCTACCTATCAAGAAAACCCTGGCCTCCTTCATAAGGTGGTCTCAACTGGATCGCCACGCAGTAGCTGTCCGCAGTTTGGTAGGAGTAGATGTGACTGAACTCCTGCAACCAGATGCAGTCAAGGTATTGTAAACACACAGAGAAGCTTCCTTACACAGCGACGGCAATCCCTACTAAGACAAGACCCGAGATCCTGTCCAACCCCAAACCCTACAGAAGAATATGTTAGGACCCCTTAATTATAGAGGTAAGTCTCAGGCAACACCCGCAAAACCCATTGTTTTTTGTGGATCCCCAGATATACCATAACATACAACAATATGCCAGAATGGACTATAATGTACTATAGTGCGGTGTTAAAGACTGTAATATGCTAAGATGTACTATAATGTAACGTAGCATAGGATCTATAAGGTACTAAAATGTACTATACTATAGTATATAGTAATGTACTATAGGGTTTCTCGGTTGTTGGGGAACCCTCGGCAGTCCCGTGGAGGTCCGATGACCCCATGAGTCTCCATTGCCAGGAACTACCGGGCCACGGAGAACTCGTCAGTCGTTCTTGCTGTTACATGTCCTATTACTGTCCTAGATAGTACAGTATATATTCTTATATAGTTACTGAATGTATAGTATATAAATAATAAATTGTATATAATACCTGGAGGTCATGATCGATCGACTTGGGTGCGAATTGCAAACTTCTTCGGGTGGGATGCACTTGTTTCACACTGCGAACCTGGTGCATTTTGTCACCTTTGACTCTAGGGCTATCTTCTCCAGGGTGTGCCAACATGAACGGTGCATTGACTTCGGTTTCTTCGATATGAACCGCACATGCTCGAACTTGGCAGGCCTAAATCAAAACCGCGCTTCATGCATGGTAGTCAATGCTTGAGCCATAAGCATTGAGTGGAATATATTACAGAATACTATAGTATGTTAAAGTTTACGATAGTGACTAGTGGCTTAACGGGATGAGTCGGCCTCACTCCGAAAAGACGCAGTGCCCCACTTCATGGTTATTTTCCACACATATGCGTTGTACTTTAGCTACCATCATCGCCGTTCTGTGTCTGCCATCAGTATATACCACACTGCTTCAATTCTTGGAAAGATGCATTGCAACTTTGTATTTGATACTACTGATACGGCCAGCACAGTCACACGTGCAAAATTGAAGGACCAAGCCCGACACCCTAAACCCCAGAACTCCCATTTTCTTTCGCGTGGAGGTGGAGGCTGCAAAGCCCTGACGACTCTTGGTCGGAGGCGTCGAGGCCTGGCTAGTCGAGGGACTGGGCGAAGGGGGCTTAGGGTTTATAGGGTTTCAAGGATAGGGTCAGGGTTTAGGGGATAGGGTGTAGGGGTTCAGGGTTTAAGGATTAGAGTTTAGGGGTTTAGGGCTCTTGGGGCTTGAGGTTAAGAGCTTAGGGCGGCAGGGGTTTGCGTGCTACCGTTCAAGACTTCCAGATACTCCGGTTAGTAGGTCTAGGCCTTCGGCTTGAAGTGAAGCTTGATGCCTGCAACCTTTGCATGCTGTGTGTGAAAGTTGCAGGCTTTTCTCAGCTCGAGGCCTTGCACAAGTAAGGAGTCACCATGCACTCAAGGAACACAAGTGTTCAACCGTCGCAGCCGTACTTGAAGGATCATGGGACTTAGTAACTAGGGTTGAAATTGAGATAGCTATGCTTATAATTACTTATAACCCCAATTAGGGTACTTATGATCTCACTTACTAAGTCCCCTGATCCTCCAAGTAGACTGTTTCAGCATGTCCGAAAGCCTGCTTACTGTAATCCTGAAGCCCTCAAATCTACACCCAAAACATGTTTCTGCGCTACACCCCAAAATCTCCTCCCACTCCCAGATTTCAATGTGTAACTGCTGGACTTCGTGCCCTAACATGCATCGACAAGACACATTGCCAGATAATATCTTAGGGGAGCAAGCAGGATGCTACGAGACGTCTAAATAAGGTTTAGGGTTTAAGGGTTTAGGGGTTTAAGGGTTCAGGATTTTAGGATTTAGGGTTTAGGGGTTCGGGATTTAGGATTTAGGATTTCGGGGTTTAGGATTTAAAAAAATCGAAGAACAAGGTCATGTTGCTGAGAACAGTGCCTGGTTGCAGCAGCGCCCAGAAAAATGTCACGGCCAAAGCTGCCATCGACGTGATCAGCGCGAGACCCTCCCAGTGTCGGAGGATCTCCAAGCCTAATGGTTTGGGGCTCTTGACGGATTGCTTGAGGGTTCCTTTAAAGGTTCGTTTACGCGACTTATGGTTTGTGGTTCGCAGGTTTGAGGTATCAATGTAGGGTCTATCTATAGTTAAGGGCTACTAATGCTGCTGCTGCTACTACTACTACTACTACTACTACTACTACTACTACTACTACTACTACTACTACTACTACTACTACTACTACTACTACTACTACTACTACTACTACTACTACTACTACTACTACTACGGGGGACGGATTGGAGTTTCAGACCTCGGCAAATCAAATCTCTCCATGGATTGTCAACAAACCCTGAACACTTACACCCCACTTTCAAACTGACATTTACATGCTTTAAGCCGGAACACACTACCACAAAACAAACAGGAACTGGAACCAAATACTGTTATACTTATATGGCTGCCACTCTCAGCTTTCTAGTGCTGCTACGATCATGTCGAAAGATGGCGTTAGCACTATCTTGCAGCTTGTCCCCAAAGATCTTCTCTTGCCCCTGATGCCCTGAAAACCCAAAATCCCTAACCCTCAAGCCCCCAACACCCTAACCTAAACCCTAAAACCGAGAACCCCAAACTTGCCTAGACCCTCCATCTACCCTCACTTGGACCTAAGGCCCCTATTTGAGGGTACAAGGAGGATCCTGGTGGGCTTCGAATCGTCAAGTCGGGGAGCCCAGAATCAGAGGCTCTCCTCGGAGGACCTGCGCCGGCACCGGGTTTAGAGTCACAAGGAATCTAGGAGAGGCACCCGAGGCGTAAGCCCAGGAGAGGGGTCCTTAAGAATTAGAATAGAGCTGTGGAGCATATGATTTCTGTTTGGACCGGGTGAAAGGTTAAGTTTCATGCTCTACTGCTCTACTGCCCTGAGCCATGAACTTCTTTGGGGCGCCAGCAAAGCCTTGAAGCCACCAAATAATCCGAACCCCATCGAACCCGTGTAGAAGCCTGAAGCCTTCAAAAGCCCTGCAGAATCCTGAGCTGAAAGCCCTGACCCAAACCTTTCTGTATTAAACCCACTGATTTCTGAATGATTAGAATAATATTTTTAGGGCTCCTTTGTACAAGCAACTACATACAGTATAGTATGTAAACACTAGCCTACTTATTGAGGCTGCTATACTCAGCTTCATTATCCCCGGGGTCCTGAAAAATGCCAAGCAATGACATCAGCCAACAGCATCCGGCAGCCAATCGCAGCACATTCTCCTTCGGAAGGGACCGGTAAGCGACAACCCAAACCTTAAAGGGCTTAGGGTTCAGAATTGCGGTTTAGGGTCTAGTGGTTTAGGATACAGGGCTTAGAGTCACGGTTCAGGGTCTTGGCTTGTGCTCCGGGGCAGGCCTCAAAAGCCTAAGCTTGACCACGAAGCCTGAAACCTACTTGGAGGATCAGGGGACTTAGTAAGTTAGGTTATAAGTACCTTAATTGGGGCTATAAGTAATTATAGGTATAGTTACCTTAAGTATAACCCCAGTTACTAAGTCCCATGATCCTTCAAGTAAGCCCTGTTCTCCTTGGGAATGGCCGCCGGAGCCTGATCGTTCCAGGATGCTCAGATAAAAAACCTCTGGTGTCTAGTTTGGGAACCGTCTGCGTGTAGGATAATACACCGGAATGAAGGGCTCGGAAATCCGGATTTCTTGCCATCCGAGTGTTCAGCATGTCCACCGAGCATAGACATTGCGAACAAAAGACAATCAGGGACGTGAGGTTAAGGCTGGCATAGGGCTTAGTTTTAGGCATATGGGTTTAGGGGCTGAGGGTTTAAGGTGTAAAGGATGGGATCAGGGTTGAGCTTGTTTCGGGCCTGCAGCAAGGCAACTGGTTAGAAGTTACAAACAGGGCACTGCTACATACATTCTTATATATGGGTTCAACACAACTTGGACCCAGAAACCTCAAGAGGACTAAGCCAGAAACAAACTCTGCAACGCATCAAGGTTCAGGGTTTAGAGGGTTTAGGGTTGACGGTTAGGTATCCCGGACCTCATGTAGACGGCTACCACAGCCAGGCCTGCGGAACAATCGATAACATCCATTCCAGCATCAGGAGAACTTCGGTGATGTGCAGAGGCAGAAAATGGGCCAACTTGACCACTGCACCTGAGATGGCACTGTTCGTACATGAGCCCTCTTAGAACCAATAAGGGAACATGTGCACTATCTCGAGGACCTACCTATCATATCAATGTGTGCCGCACCGAGACAGTTTTAGTTTTGGGGGGGTCAGGGATTCATAAAGGCTACGGGGGGTGCGGGATTGTTTAGGGTTTTATGGTTCAAGGTTTTTGAGATCCCAGGTTTCCAGGACTGAATTGTGAAGAGCAAGAAGCAAGTCAAGCACCAGAGCCTACGGAAGTACAGTCAAACCGTGACGGGTGGCAGTTCGGGCACGTGGAGTTCAACACTCAGTTCTGACCACAAATGTGCAATGGAAGAAGCTGTAGACATGCTCAACTGGAATCAAGGCATCGTTCACTGCCTCCGTTTTCACACACCTCCCTCAAGCCTGAATCCAAGCGCTACCTATCGTCTCCATTGGAGCTCCTTTTGCCAGTTTAACCAAACATATAATCAGGATCCTATAAGGTAACCCCAAAAAGGAACTACAATGGAGACTATAGGTACACTCTAGAGCGCGAAACCTTAAGCTCCAAGGCCCAGGCCCTCAAACCTCAAGCGTGGACATACGAGACCATATCCAATCCTAACTATGTGATCTGGAAACATATGCCTAAAATATCAAGTTTTAACTGTGTGATCTGGAAGAATATGCATAAAATCTCCAATTTCAACTGTGTAACATGAAAAAAAAAGAATATGCCTAAAATGCCCGGGAACGGCCCCGAACTTCGTAGCAGGGACTGCCCGACACCCCGCCGGTCGCCCAGTGGCACAGGGCATCTTCGTTGGGAAGGGACTCTTTGAAAAAGTGTCCCTGCACGACCTTTCAAGGGGCTTATGGTGCTTTAGGGTTCTGTCATTTGAGGCTCTGTGGTTCGTTGAGAGTTCCATAAAGGTTTCTGTTCGTATAGGTGGTATAGGGTTTTGGGCTTTGAGGTTTGTGTAAGGTTCAGCATTTCTAGTAAGTGATTGTTGAGGGAAACTGTTTTGAAACTCCTAGCCTCATAGAATCTTCGAACTTTGCCCAGGGGATGGACGATACCAGGTGAGGGTTGCGCTTTGCAGGATCATGGCGTCTCATGGCTGATTGTTGTTCTTCGGTTCTGGAAAGCAATTCTATACTAACACTGGGCAAACGTTCACGCCGATGCTACATGCACAAGATAATACCGGAGTCTTGAGGTATAGAACTGTATTAGACTGGAATAGGAACGGTCCACTTGTCTTGAACGCTGAACACAGCTGAACTAGCAACCCTGAACGCTGCCACACCAGAGTTGCTGCACCTGATTCGTGATATGCTTTACTCCCTCCAGCCCAAGGCCCTTACCGACAGAGCAATTAACAGATACCATCTGCACACCCCACATAGTCTATAAACCCTACCCCCCAGAACCATAGAACCCCAAACCTGGGTATCTGCTAAAGGGGCCTTAATGACTAGAATGGGGTTGTGGGGCCCAGTATACTAAACTAATAATAAGGAACCTCAACATTAGTTTTTGGTAATTATCTAGGCCGCTAGGCCGCTATACTACTTACCTCAAGCCCGAAGCAGACCCCGCCTGGACTGCTGCGACCATCACCGAGACGCACAACTGCGAAGAGCCGTGCTGAAGCGCCAAAACCTGCACGGACATATCGTGAAAGTCTTTACTAGGTGTCGGTCGGTTTCAAGAGAACTATTTACAATCAGGGCTCTATATTTCAAGCAGCAAGGGAAACTGAACACTCAATGCCGGGCTCATTGTAAGGGCTCTGCAAGGGTTCCGCAACTGGGCAATTACGGGTTTTCGGCTTCCACACACACTACTGCTTCTGTTGTGCTCTTGTTCTGTTTTGTGTGTGTGTGTGTGGTTTGTGCTTTTCTGGTCTTTGACCCGATTCTGCTTACGGATGTAGGCTGTCGCACAAGCAGTTGGATGCTTGACGAATCAGATGTTTTAGGGTTTCGGATTTTGTCATATACCCACAACATTCGAACGGTTTAGGGCAAATGGTAAGCTGCCACATCCTGACAGACTAGCCCCACATCCTCAAGAGCAGTTCCAATAATATAGTGGCCTTCACAGTTAGAGCAAGGTTTTGGGCCACATGCCAACATGCCCTAAACCCTAAACATACGTATACCAGCAACCCGAAGGAATAGTAGGAGTAGATACGCATCTTCTACATTGCGCAGAGAACCTCCATGCATCCATGCATCCATCCATCCATCCATCCAGCCAGCCAGCCGGCCATCCATCCATGCATCCATCTATCCATCCATCTCTCCATCCATGCATGCATACATGCATGCATCGATCCATCCATCCATCCATCCCTCCATCCATCCCTCCATCAATCCCTATATCTCTCCATCCCTCCATCCCTCCCTCCATCCATACATCCATGCATGCATACATCCACATATGCTTACACATGTGCATACACATATGCATACATATATGCATGCACGTGTGCATGCACATATATTGTGTACATTTAGACAGTATATACATGACATGTTCTACTACACGTACACATACAGGACATACATGCACACACACCTAGATACGTAAGTTTATACATACATTGATGCGTGCATGGTTACAAACATGCGTGCATACATACATACTCCGTGGTATAGAAGCCCCTACTTTGTGCAAGTCTCCATCTGTGAGCGACCGAAACCCAGACCCAAAGCAGTACTTGGAGGATCAAGGGACTTAGTAAGTCAGGTTACAAGTAGCTTAATTGGGGTTATAAGTAACTAAAAGTATAGTTACCTTAATTATAACTACCCTAGTTACTAAGTCCCATGATTCTTCAAGTAGCCGTACGTAGCCCTGCCTTTGTGGCGGTTGAAGTGGGGCGAACATGCACGCCCAAGGCAGCTAAGAAGCAGACAATTCCTGGCACAGGACCCAGAGCTCGTCATCAGTCCGTGTTGTCGAGGTTTCGACAAGCGGTGTGAGCCATGTAATTAGTCACTGTCTGCTTGCCAAGGCATGTTGTAAGTTTCAACTACGTAGCCAACTCCGAAGTTCCAGTCCGAGCCGAAGAACAAATCCCGTCGTTCAGTTTGGACCACAGGGAAAAGCGGTGTGTGTTGTGGTCCGGCCTAAAACACCGACGCTGACGAGCTTCACCTGCACACATCTACATTCATGCGATCATATGCACATGCAGATACCTGCACACTGACTTTCCGCTCCTCCGACTCCTGCCCTCGCCACCCATCCAATCTTCCGTCCTACGCCTACTTCCCGAAAACGCTTGCGGTAAGAAGCTGACCATGTAGAGGGAAGCATCCTCATGGGTGGAGGTGTTGAAGTGAGAAGGCACCTTGGTCAAGGATTCAGGGCACAAGGGGGCTAAAGCTTCGCGTTGTTGTCGGCTTTGTCGTTTCAGGGTAAGGGTTTAAAGGTCGAGGATTCCTCCGCTTCAAGGATTCCGGGGCTGTAGTACAGGAGATCTAAATGATAAGAAGTGGGTCTTTTCTGAGCGATATAAAAGAAATACGAGTGCGATGGAGAACCAAAGCGAATGGTAGTCTTAGGGTTTGCATTCCCTTCCCCAGAAAAGGTTAACCGATTCAAACATAATTAGTGGGGCCTAATAAACAGCAAAAGGTTAAAGGTTGCTTCCCCAGCCCCTAAGTATTCCTGCAATGTCTACTCTGAGATTCGAAGCCGAATCTTCAAGCCTCGAACCCTGGAAAACGCTGAGCTCTAACCTCTTGTCCTCCCTCCACGGAGAAGCCTCGTCGATGCCGGCAAACCCTCAACACACAAAGCGCGATGACTAGAAGCCCAAAAACTTCTACTCCATCCAAATACAACATTCCTCCAGTCTAAGACCCTGTCTCCGTAAGCCCCTGAAGCTTAGACCCTAAACTCCCTGTTATGGGGACTATTATTGGGGATTATATAGGGGCTACTGTAGGGATCCATTCCCCCATTCCCTACTCAGAACCAGACAGTAAACCCTAAATCCTAGACCCTGGAACCTCGGCGTCCGAGCACAGGGAGCCCACCCAAGGCGTTTCATGGAAACCTAACGCTCCAACTCCGGAAACCCTGAACTTGAACCTTCAATGCCATAAAACACGCTATGCCAAACAAAGCCTTGAACCTTAAACCTCTAAATCCCAACCTAAACATCCCCCCAACTGTCCAACAAAGCTATGAAAGACCAAGGCGCTCCACGCCAAGCCTGCAGTGTGATAATGGCGACTTCGACCTGAGAGTTGAAGGGGTTTTCGGGAGTTCAGGGATACTAAATGGGTTCTATAAACTTAGTTGCTGAGGTCATAAGCACAAAGTGTACACTTACTACACTTTTGGTTTTATAGTGGGGAGTATTATCCAAACAGAAGGGTATCCACTCAGCTACTAAGCAAAGGTTTAGGGCTCGGGGTGCTAAATGGCTTGCGGGCTACTGTAAGGCTCTTCTGGAGAGGTTTGACTTCAGGTTCTTAGGGATTTGAGTCTTAGGGCTTGGGGTTTCTGGTTCAGGGATTCTATGGATTTAAGGTCACATAGTATAAGATACCAGCCAGTAGTCCTTCTGTGCTGTGTTGCGAACTGCTCCTAGTCTCCCAAAACTCAAGGTTCGTTTCGCTGAAACAGACCCTAAGACCTGGAGTGTGAACGTTGAGAACCCACAACTTTCTCTTTCTTTCAGTGACTTGTAAATCATGAGGAGCGATGAAGCAACAAGGTTGTTGCAGGGTCGTACATAGCGGAATACCATGTAAAAGGTTGGATTCGAGGATTTCCGGGATGGGGCAGGGCTAATCTATTTTAGGGTTGGTGGCTTCGCATATCAAGAAAGACCTTACAACTGAAGCCATACTGCTGATGATTGCGGCGGGTCCTCAGGTTACTCGGTATCGGAGTACGACGAGATTTGGAAGGATTACTGTAACGGCTCCAGATGGGCCATAGGCGCAGCAAGTGCTTGTCTCAAAACTGTGTCTTCTTTGACTTGCTGTACCAACTGCAAGTCATAATGCTGACGATTTTTGCGAACATAGGCGTCTATAGGGTAATGTAACTAATGTAGCGGTTCTACACGGGCGTCAAAAGGTACACGAGCCTTTCCGGTAATTGTAATGTTCCGTGATATTGGTCTTACCATTGGCAGTGCGGCATCCCAGGAAGATCAAGAGTGGTGCGGTTTAGGTAGTAGCCCTAAACCCCAAACCCCAAACCCAAATCCCTAAACCCTAATCCTTTGTTCTTTGGAGTTTGTCGTCGACAGGGCCTCGACCTGTGTAGGTGGCAACACCCAAGATCCCACACTCCAAAATTGGGGCCTGGGCCTTCACCAAGCAAGCACCCTAATATAGGGGCCTTAATAGCTAGAACAGCGCTTTGGGGTGGTGCGGACATGAGTCTGGTGCAGCGCTTTGGGTTATAGATACTATAAGCACAATAAGGACCCCCGCACAACAGAACTGGTAATTACGTAGGCCCCTATAGTACAAACCTCCATGCGGAGTTCAAGCGTTGTTCAGAAGCCACAACATCGAAAACCGCGAACCGCACAAAGAATACATAAACCCATATAGTTGTTGAGCGTGCCATAGGAGATCACCCACAGGAGCGTCCCCACGAGCACAAGAACGGCGAGCTCACTCAGGAGGTCGCCCATGACGCTGTCGCCAAAGAAGGCGAACCGCAGCAGCCATGTGCTCCAACACAGCGCGTGCGGCATCCTTAGTCTGTGACTTAAGCGGCCACCCAAATCTCCGCTGGAAGATGTTGGCCGGCATCTGAACCTTAGGACGGGCGGGGCAGAGCCACGCCATGTGGTACCAGCTCGCCCTCGGCGTGCCACAGCACGGACACACGAAATGGGCCGAATCAGCCTGAGTACAATGAGCAAGCCATGCCGGAGACACAGCCGCTCCAAGCAGAACAGAGCGACCCTCAGCGGACTCTCTGGCGAACTCACGGAGTCTTTCAAGGTCGATATCCTCAGCTTGGCGCATAAGCGCAGGGAGAGCATAGAGGTTGCGAAACTCCCGCGCTTCGTGTCTCTTACCCAACAGGAACTTCTTGAGGCACCAAAGCCTCCACTGCTGACGGCAGTGATGCTGCATCTGGCCCTTGGTCTGCGTAGAAGCAGCAGTAAGGTCGAGGCGAGTCTGGGCCGTAGCGCCCTGCCAAACAAAGGGACTGGTGACCTGCCATCCGCGTTTGCGTAGCCACGCACGCAAGGCGTGCACCGAAGAGCCTGGCCCTGCTCCCCATCTGCGGTCACCTTGGTACGGTATGCGTCCATGGTACTCAAGCTGCTTCAAGTGCCATACCTTAGCGAGGAGTCTGCAGCCAGCCACGGCGTCCAAGTGGTACTTAGCACCATACACGAAACATCTTAACCATCTGTTGGCAAGGTAGCATGTACCCAGCGTACGCGAGACTTCAGCGAACAGCTTTTCACAGTCCCTAAACGGCGGAACACGGGCATTCCAACCATAGGAGGCTTTAGAGAGACCCCAAGTCGAAGTGGCCTTAAGAGCTTCCCACCAAGGGAGCCCGACTGACCTGATTAGCCGCACACGCCGCGTGGCTTCGACGATGCGGTTAGCCTCGAGATCAGAGTGCTTCCTTCGACAGGACACAGTGTTGGTCCCAAGGACCTTGATCTCCGTCTTACACCAAGCCCTACTTGGAGGATCGGCGCGGTTATATCTACTTGGCGCGCTTGCTAAGTACTTGCAGCACTTATGTCGGACTTATAAACTAACCACGTAACTCAGTTGTGGACTTAGTTTGGGACCCTAAAATAACTCAGTTAGGGCTGCAGGGCTAACCCAGTTAGCGCGGTTCCGATAAGTGGATGGTCGGACTTAGGCTAAGTGGGCTAAGTGGGTTACGGGGCCACTTTGCTAAGTAGGCTAAGTGGGTTACGGGGGCAGGAAAACATCGGTCAAAACGCACATCCACAGCGACTTTCTGGACTCTTGAAAGCAGGGTTCCAAAGCAGATGTGTTTGTAGATTTATAGACATGTGCAAGTATGCGTATATGCATATTTATGCATGCATGACATATGCATGTTTGTCACGTGTGTCTGTATTTTTGTATATATATATATATATATATCTGTATAGAGATATACAACTATATATTGTCACATCATTCTGTAATTTTCATGTGTACATATACATATATATATATATATATATATATATATATATTTAAATACATGAATATATCTATACATGTGTTTATGTTTTATACATACAGACAAAGTTATACCCATATGAATGTATGTATGTATGTATGTATGTATGTATGTTGTGAACTGGTGGTAAAATGTGTACGGATACAATACAACACTATGCAATGCATCTTGCTAACTCTCCCTATATGCCAGTATACATATACAAAAAAACTCTGTCTATATATATACATATATATATCCTTTGTATACAAACATATGTTTATATATATATATATATATACATAGTTATCCCCTTTCTGCAATCCCGGTAAACTCTTAAACCCGGAAGGTCGTCATATATATATATATATATATATATATATATATAGAAACCTCTTATATGTATGGCCTCCATATACATAACCACGTATACCTATACATACAACCCTATAACCCCAGAAACCACGGCACAGCGTCGGCCGCAAAGAGCATGACATAGGCGGCAGCCTGCATGCGTGGAAAAGGGGTCGTGTGCTCTCAAGCAGGTGGATTGATTATACTTGGCATTCCTTACTTGGAGGTTCATGGGTAGTTATAAGTGGCGTTATAAGTCCCTGAATATGGGTTATAAGTATAGTTATCCTACTTATAACCCCACTTATAACTACCCATGAACCTCCAAGTACAGGGGGCTGCGAAAAGTTTGATGGAACTTCATTTGCGGGCAGTGGCAGGTCATATTTATCTACATACCTTGCACTTTGTGGAGTTGATGCGGACGACACGGGGCTTCCCCAGCACATCAGAAATCTTATCCATGACCAAAAGGGGACCACTTCGAAACAATTGCCAACACGTGAAAAGATTCTATATTGTAAATGAAGCTTCCAATATATGGTGGTTGAGTGGTATAAGGAAGTGGATGTGTAGACATGAGACCCGTGTTCTAGAACGGAATAGTCTGAGGCGCAGGCGAACAGCTTTTCTTGCGATGATCTGCACGGTTTCTGGTGTAGCAACATCCCTTATAGAGATGATTGCTGGCTGTGCGAACAAGTCCTGCACAGCACTCTGCGAGATTCGACCCTGCAGAACGGAGACGACGACAGCACCTTTACATGGGCATGCTCAAAGGTATGACCAAAGCGCGGTCACCTTCCTTCTTGAACATGCAAAGGCTGGAGATGTGAGGTGTCGGTCTGAAAACAGGCTCCTGGCATATGTCAAAGCGATTGCGTCCCAAAGCGCGCCACACAGACATGCAGGTATAATGGTTTCCGTTGAAAACAACGTGAAACCAGACCTGTGCCACCTCGTCGCCATTGGGCTCACTGACGACCACCACGTCCTCCCTCTTGCAGAGGCGGCCACTGCCAACATAGCATTTCATGCTAACCTGGAGTCCAGCGCAGGCGGGCAAGCCGAAGAAAGAGGAAAAAGCCGATTGCACCAACTCGGGAGCAGCTTTACCGTTGATCAGTCCAGCTCTTTTTTCGGAGAACTCCTTGAGGTCCTTGAGGTGTTGTTCCAACTCCAGTTGAAGGACGTGTTTCTCCGAGCCGGTCTGCATGCTGTCCAAGTTGTTTGCGTATCTCTTTATCTCCTTATGCCTCCTCTCATGTACAAAACATGAGAGGAGCACAGAGTGTCTTCGGAGGAGGTCGCCCAAGTGCATGTTCATATGATGCTTGGGGAGAACGTAGTCTTCCCCATAGCAAGCCTTGAAAAGTTCAAGGTGGGAAGATACTTTGTGTTCCAGGGTTGTCGCTAGGCTCGCAACGTCCCCCGGTGTCGCCGTCTTATAGAGTTGGTCCAACACCTCACAGAGAATGAAAAAGCAACGACAGCACTCCTTGGTATCATGATCCCGAATCAGTGGCAGCTTGTCTTGAAGAAAAGCTCTCATGGCGGGGTAGAGAGCCATGCATTCCGACGCCCCCGACTTGAAGTCGGTCAATGTCTTTGCGAAAACCTTTTTTGCAGAAGCACCTTTGTCTCCAACGGCCGACGGCCAGTTGCAGTCACTCAGGAAGCGGTGCCTGCGTGCATGCTGGACTTCCGTTGTCAAAAGGAAGACGATACAAGTATATATTGTAGAAAACACAGACACACACGCACCCAATATTACAAAAATAAGGAAAGCAAACATTCTTGCTTTTGTTCAGTGGCAGCTCGGACTGCGGGATGCCCTGTCTCCGGAGGACTTTTAGCAGCTCCGTCATTTCAACCTGAAAAATTCCTCCCACGACGAAATTGTGCATCCAGTCGTACATGCTGACGGCAATCGGTTTCATGTGTGGCCGCAGCTCTGCTGAGAACAGAGGGCCATGCTCTGCATAGTTGAGCCCCAGGGCAAATTGCCGCATCTTAAATTCACCCTTGTTCATTCTGGGTTTGTTGTCAGCCAAGTGCACAGCAGCTTCCAGAATGGTTTCGTCGGTGTGCCTAACCATCTGCCCCTTGTTGTGGCAGACGTGGCTCACTAGCGTGCCTGTGGCATCACAGCTGTGCAGGCTTGAAGAGTGGGCGACGACGTTCTGGCACATAAAACACAGTTTTGTGCCAGAGGCCCCCTTGTCCTCCCAGACGCTTTTCAGCGCGGCCTCGTCGGCGATCAAGAGACCTCCCATTACATCTATGCCCCGAGACAAAGACAGAGAAATATATATGGAATATTTATAAAGGGTCATTAAAAAACTCAAACTCAACAAATCAGATAGACATGTAGAACATGTATATATGATTATGTATGTATACATATATAATCATGTATAAACACGGCTGCGAGTGATCTCTGCAGCCTCGGGTTGGCGGTCTTTGTACTAACCTGCCACCCTATATATCTGCATGGAGAAATGAAGTTCTCTCTTTACAGACTCGTTGCATGTTCCAAATGTTTCCACAAAGTATTGCTGAAACTGACCACGCCGCCAAAACGGCAACACAGCATCCAGTGCTGCGAATTGGGCATAGGCAGGCTGATGCCGTGTAGCATCTTCTCTCGCCGCTCCAGGAGGAAGATGGCAAAGATCCTGACATGTGTATAAGGGGAATGATGCATGCACGGCATCACTGACACATGTCAGCATATGGACACATGGCATGTATAAATATCTTAAAAACATATGTTGGAACCCTATATATATACATGCATGATGAGGGCCTCTTCATCAGTTGTGTCATGCCGTTGCTGAGACGCTTGACGTCGATGGAACGTATTGCAGTCAGCACGAACCATGCGTCCTCTTTGCTCAGAGCCAGCCCCCCGAACTGCTTCAACGAGAAGTACACCACCTGGAGCTTGCGCTCGTTCAGCGGCTTCAGTTGGTTGCCCGGTGACACCTCATCGACGTAGAGGCACAAGTCCCATGGTTGGGCGGGGCTGCAGGGGCATCTCGCGGCGCACGTTTGCAGGAAGTTCTGGAATCCACCTCCCTGCTGGCAGGCACTCCACAGCAAAGCTACAGGGTCCAAGTAAGTCACTTTGAGTGGTGGCCCCTGTGCCATTTCGAAGCCCGTGAGCTCTCTCCAAAGCGGCCCATACGGTGTGCTCAGATTGAGCTTCACGTCCCGCTTCCGCTTCAATGTGGACCTCGAGGGAGCGGCTTCATCATCCTCTTCGGGCAAAAGTTCCAGTATCTCAGCAAGCGCTCGCTGAGATACGAAGGACTTGCGATTGGCCTCCAGAACCCTGTTGACGGCCATCTTGAAAAACTCTATATAGGCTGCGAGCGATGTCTGCAGCCTCGGGTTGGCGGTCTTATTGAGCCTGCCACCCTGATGGAGGAATGACGTGTATATATCATATCATGATGCTTTGTTTATGTATACATTAAGACTCAATGCATCTACTCAGTGAAATACGTGATTTTCCAAAGTATAAATTGTCAGGGACATCAGGTTTCTATATGGCCTGAAGATATGCAGGTATACATACACACATATCTTGAAGCATGAACTGCCATGAACACGAACATATACGATCGGTTCTTTGTACATAATCTTCTCATGTGTATATATATATATATAATATGTATGTGAATATACATATCATACACATATCTATATGTAAATGCACATGTGTATACATCTATTTGTATATACATACATACAGACGTATATATATATATGTATATATATATGACATACAAGTATATATGCATGTGCATATACATATATATATCTAAACACGATCGGAGTCAACCTTATATGGATTTACAGGTGGACGTCAGGACTTGGCAGCAGGAATGCTGCAGCACACTCTGGATTGAGCCATGCAAAGAAGCATGCGTGTCAAGCACCGTCGCACATCATGCCCGTCTCTTGCAGCCTTGAGGACTTGTCAATACGCACTTTTTTGCAGAGAGTTGCCGGCCTTGTCGCGAGATCACCTCTATATACACAGAGTCGCTGCAGCTGCTCAAAACCACGCATCATCCATGGATCATATATACTTACAATTGAATATATTCCTGCAAAACAAGTTCAAAAACGTTCTTCATACCAACGTGAAGTTTATAACCGTATATATAGACAAAAATCTATACAGACCCATGCAAGCATGCACGGGGACATGTTGGCGTGACAGGCAGCAACTCTATATACAGAGGAACGCAAAGAATTGCTTGAGGCGAGATGGGTGTTATCACATCTTCAAATGTGAGAAGATGTACACAGACATGAGCATGTGCCGAGGTGTCAATGTTTATCGTCCATTGTTGTTCTGTGTTAATATATTGTTTCAATCTTGTGTTGTATACTGATATACACCTATATTGATATTGATATGAGGAATGCAATTGTTTGTCATGGTCCTTTACATGTTTATTGTTATTATCATTCGGATTGTTTTGTTGTTGTCGTTACTGCTATTTGTTTTCTGTTTTTGTTATCACGAAACTGATATATATATATATATATATATACATATACATATACATACACATACACATACACATACACATATACATATACATATACATATACATATATACATATATACATATACATATACATATACATATACATATATACATATACAAATACAAATACATATACATATACATATATACATATACATATATATATATATCTTCATATGCTTCTTATACTGCGATTGCAGGATGATGTTGAATGTTATATATACTGCTTCCTGTCAATCTTATATCCTTGTATGTTAGGTGAATTTACAAATATTCTAACGTTTCACTCTCCAGATTATTTGCATACACATGTACTGCAATTTTGCGTTGTATCAACAAAAAGGCTCAATGCGAATAACACGACAACATTAAGAACTGGAATGTCAAAAACGATGAAACAACAAATAACAAGAAGCATGTAATAGTGACGATAGACAATATAAGAATGACATAATATATCAAGAAGCTGCACTCTCTGCTCATGCCTCCTTCCAGCCGTGCTTCTGGGCCTCGCCCCTCGTGCGGAAAACTCGACCGTTCGGAGAACGATAGTACGTGTCGGTTTGCCCGGCACTATTCCCGACTTTGCGCTCACGTACCTCTACAACCCAGCCCTTGTTCGGACCTGCCGTCACAGATGTCATCTTCGAATGGGACTTCGCCTTCGCTTTGGCCGTGGACTTGGCCTGAGCTTTGGCCGTGGATTTGGCCTGAGCTTTGGCGGTGGACTTGGCCTTCGCCTGGGCTGTGGACTTCAGGGTTTAGGGTTATATAGGGTATACATCTATAGGGTTTATATAGGGCTTATACAGGGTTTATAGGGCTGAGGGTTTATAAAGGGTTTCGCCTTGGCTTTGGGTTCAGCAGTCACTGCGGCCGCGGGCTTTTTGAGAATGCCGGCCACCTTGTTCTGGCTCGTCTGCTTGGCGCGGTTGTCCACCGCATTCTCGACTGCCTTGGCAGCTTCTTGTGCGCTCAGCGGCTGACGATCAGGAGCAGGTTCCTCCTTGGGTGGTGGTGATATGTCCGGCATCTCAAACGTCAGGGCGGAAGGCTTCGTTGCTGATTCCTGTTGCTGCGTCGGAGACTGCAACGTTGGCCACTGCGTCGCAAGTGACTGCTGCGGCGGGGGCGGCGAGTCCTGCTGCGAATCGGTCTGCTGACCCGGAGCCTGGCCTGCACTGTGCTTGCCTTGCCCCTTTGGCGGTTGCAAAAGCCGGAACCCCGGCAAGTCCGCGCCAGCCGACCCGCTGGAACCGGCGGAGCCGCCACCCATATAGCTCATCATCATGGATGCAAACTGGTTTGCCATGCCCGCGAACATCTCTTGCTGGGTCTGCTGAGTCTGCTGCTGCCCGAAGCTTGTGCGCGGTTTCTTGTTCGGAAGGACCATCAGGGCGTCTTGTGGCCGGAGTTCGGCACTGCTTTTCCTCATGATGGTGGCCTGCACATTCGTCCCCTGGATGACAACCGGGGGATCGTCAGGCTGATACGCTGCCGAACGTACGGTCTCCGACAATTCCTGTTGGAACGCAGGGGCAATCCAAATTCACGGTCTCATACCAAAATATGAAAAACCTTCTATAATAATGAGCAGTATATATATATATACATTTAGATACATATATACAGAAACCGTTTTCAGATACGCATATATATATATACGCAATACGTACATGTCTGCAGCCTCAAAGAAGTTGTTCAGATATCTTTCCATACACCAACACAACCAGTCACAACCAAACGCAAGTATAGAGAATTCTATGCAACTGTATGTACCTGTCCTCTGGACTGGCAGGGAACGGGTTCGGCAATGCGATCGTCTTGGGAAACTTCTTGACCCGAGTCCTCACCATCTTCTTGAGCAGTTGCAGAAACCCGTACTTGTCCGCGGGAGTTTCCAGGGCGAGGCCTGCCGCCTGCACTGTCTTAATGACCTCACCGTATGCTTGCTCGCTGGCCAGCCAGAGCTGGATTTTGATCATCCGGCTCGCGACGGCATCTGCCTTGCAATGCTGAGATATCGCCGGGTCTGCCAGGATTTCCACCTCTTTTTGGCTTAAGAAGGGGGCGAAGGTGAGCAAGTCCTGGTTTGCTCGGCGGACATGTGCCCCTGGCGTGCCCCCTCGGTTGGCCAGATTGTTTGAAAGGCAGCCGGCCAGGACCGCTCTGTCCTCCGGCTCCCACGGGCCCTCGCGGACGATGGCGGTCACCTGGATTGCGTTCTCCGGCGTGAGGCCGCGGAAGACGCCGATCTCGTCCAACAGCTGATTGAGCTGCGTGCTCTTCAGGGCTTTGTACGTTTTTTCATCCACGTCCCCTTTCTGCGCCTCCACAAACCCGTTCACTGCCTTGATCTTACCTTCCAAGTCTGCGAAGGTCCCTGCCATGGTTCGAAAGGCTAAAAGGGTATATAGAAGCACAGCTTGAGATCGGAGCAGGCTGCACACACGTCCAAGCGAGTTCGTAGACCCTGCTTGCTGATCCTGCGGCCATGGCCTGCAGTATCGCACATGCATGCCCTGCGTGGAAGACATGTCAAGGCACACGCAAAGAGGCGCAGCATCTTCGCTTTTTCAAGAACTGGACTGGTTGCCTCTTCAGAGAAAACGAGGGAGGCCGTCGTGCTGCAACAGGTTTGAATGTCTATACCTGTTCGAAAATCGTCATTAGATTTCACAGATTTATATACTTATATAGACCCATACATACATAGATACATACATATGTACATGTACACACACATGCATATAAACATACATATATATATATATATATGTAAGCATATGTACACAATATATGCTGCTTATGAGTCCACAGGGAGAAAAAACTCTCGGAGCCGGCATTCGCCTGCACTCCGCTTGTGCCCAATCCTGTATTTTGGGACATAGCCAGGGGGCCTCTCATCCATAAAAACCATACAGTCGAAAATTGTGAGGGGCCTCTGACTGTGCGCAGTGCTCAAGATCTGAACACCTACATCCGGAGGCAGCATCAATCCATCCGTCACGGCAAAGAGCAAGTCATACATAGAAACTCCGCCATGCATTGATGGAAGTTCCAGATCGAGAGCCACGTTGTCGGTGGTCGCGTACTTGAGCTGAAACCTGTCGCAGTGTCTTGCGGGCATTACATATATATATATATATATCTAGATATAGATATAGATATAGATATAGATATAGATATATAGATATATATATATATATATATAGGTATATAGGTATACATAGGCATATATAGGTACATATATATATATATAATATGACACACCAACTTGCAATGCCAAGCATGGCACCTTACCGTCGTTCGAGTCAAGGAGGCATAGGCCTTCAGCACGACGTTGCGTTCTGTTCGCGGTCGGAGCGCCAACTTCTGAAAGGGAAACGAAAACGACTGATAGACTCGCATATCCTGTCTATTCGCGCTGATGAGTTTCCAGAACACGCCCTGAAAGATGATGTTCCCACGGCTTTGCAAACCGGCCAACAGCAAGACCATGTCCGCCGGTAGCAAGACGTTCTCCACGGCTTCCCATTCCTGGGGAATCAGCGACACGCCGTCGCCTGATGGCTGTGGGTTCTGGACGTACTCCCACGTCCGTGCCATTATACACTCCGCGTACTCAGCGTCTATACCCTGACATTGCTTGAGCGAGGTTGCGCATATATACACCCCTGCTCAAACGTGCTTGGCGAAACTATTTCTTCTGCCAGCACACAATGCATCGCATCCATGAGCATCTTCCTCCCCAAGGACCCCCCCTCCTCGGTCTGTCTTTTCGGTATATATGTTTACAATGCGACATGTGCACATATATACCGCTATATAGCTGTCATCCCCCCACACAAGACTTACGTGCACTCCCTGCCCTCTTCCATGGCACCTCCCCTTTACTCCTTGTCTCTTGTTACCTCCTCCGTATATACCAAAGTATCGGAACCGGCCCGCCACATCCATGCTCAGGCATGCTCTATATAATGTACCTGCAGGCAGCTTTCAGGACACATGGCTTCAGTGTACAAGAAGCAACACGTGCAATGCAGTCACATCCATGGCAAGCTTGTAAAACATGGATCGCATCTGATTTTTTGGGTGAAGCTATCCTGCAAGTCGCAGAGATTCTGCACCACCTCTAAACTGCATATGTACAGAATTGCTTCAAAAGACTTTGGTCACGGAGCAGAAACTCATATACAAAGAAAACATTCAGAAAGGGTTGAGAGGATGTTGATTGCTATGTAAAAACACGAAGCGTTGTCAGGAACGATATATATATATATATATATACATACTATACATACACACATGTTTATGGCAGTAGCATCTACGGATATATATATATATATATATATATATATTTGCGATTTATTATCTGTTGCCGATCTAGTCCGTGACCGGTAGGAAAAACTCCCTGAGGCGGCACTCTCCTGGCTCCGTCTTCTCAAGGATGCGATAACGTGGCTTGTAATTTGGCTGTGATGACCCTCGAACATACAGCATACAGTCAAACACAGACAAAACCCTCTCATCGTGCGCTGTGCTCATGATCTGCAAGGCCGCATCTTCAGGAGGCTTGATGCTGTCACGGAGGTACCACTGCAACTCGTAAAAGGAGATGCCGTCCACCCCATGGATCCGTATGTCTGCAGCCACATTGTTTGTCGCCTTGTATCTCGCCTGAAACCTGCATGGGTTTTTCAGGGCGTGGAAGCGAGACTACATGTTATATGTAAATATATATATATATATACGTATACATATAAATATCTTCTATATAGTCTTATTTCAGCATGTTCTATATACACGTATATGTATGTGTGTATATGTATATATATATATATATATATATATACACATATATATATACACAGTGTGCCATGTGTTTATGTATGTATGTGAAACTGTATATATATAGTCAAGCAACGAAGAGGAATTACGAAACTACGTGCTTCCTATCAATCAGAATTGCACAGGCATCTCTCTATATGTCTATGCGTCTGCACAGGGCTGCCATGCTGAAAGCCCAACCTTACCCATGTTGTTCCTCGGATGATGGAGGCGTACACTTCCAGGATGATGTTGTAGCGACGCCTGGGCCGGACGATGATGTTGTTGCCCGGGTTCGTGAGGGACTGGTAGAGCCGCATCTCAAAGGTGTCTGCAGTGAGACAATGCCACGCTTGCCCTTCATACCAAAACCCATCATCTTCCCGCCCGTTGTCCAGGCCAAGGATCATTTCGTAGTTCGTGACCGGTTGCCACGCTTGCTCCACCAGGGAGACGCCGTCTCCGGTCGGCCGGACACCACGGCAAAACTCCCATTGCACTGCAGCCATGGCTTTGGAACGCAAGAGTCCTGCTTTTAGGCCGCGGAATGCTGCGATCCGCAACATATACATTTGCTGAGCGAGGTTGAGACCCCTGCTCTGTGTGCTTGGCGAGGCTTCTCTGCCAGCACAGTCGCATGCACGTAATGAGATTTTTTTGTGGTCCTTGCAAGCAGCTGACAATCGAGGCTCTTTGAAATCAAAACTGCAGATGCGACGAGGGTCTGCAAATCAGGTTGTGTCCATGACTGCACCTCTCTCGCTAAAAGTTCACGGGTTCAAACAGCTTCTGAAGTGCGACCGTGTTGGCAGCCGTTTTCCTGAGGACACGCTTCCGCGGCTTTAGTGCGGCGTGTGCCCTTGGCCCCCACACAAACGTCAAAACTTGGCTCAAAAGCCCCCCCGTCACGGAACTGACCAGGATCACTTGCTGCTGGCGTGTGATGAGGTCTGCCTCCGCAGCTCTCTCCTTAAAGGATGCCTCCAAGTCACGGATGCTGATGTTCTTTTGATCGCAAAAGTCCACGGTCGTCATCAGGCGAGCAGAGGAGCACGACACAGCCGAGAACCTACACTGTGCGGGTTCAAGTTCATGTTTGTAACCAGGACCCTTCCCATATATTCAAGCAATATACAAAGGTAAATAGCATACAATTCCATGCAGCCTCACCAGACCCTCCTCAGGGTTGTGGTCGGCGTGGACGCACCACATGAAGTTGTCCTTGACTTGGCGCAAGAGAAGCTTCTCCATTCCCGAGTTCTGCCACAGGGTCAGGTCCGAAGCCTCGTCCTCCACGACCTTGCGGAATCGGCTGTACTTGCCCTTCGCGCGGATGACGATGAAGGCGTTGTTTTCCATGAGTCGCTGCGAGTTCGTTTTCGAAACAGGCAGCCACTCCTGCGACTTCGGCAGGTCATCGCCCCACGTCCACTGTCCGGACAGCACGGCCATCTCCCACAACTTCCCGGCCATGGTCGCTGCTTCTAGGCTACA